ACACGCGCTGGAGATGCTTGGCCGGCCAAACGACGAGATGAGATGGGCTCGAGGAACGCCTCGGGCCTTTTACGTGGTGTATAAAGTCGGAACGTAGACGGAGGCATTGGGTTTCGTGCGCTCTGCTATATCCTTGCTCATTATCAGGATGTTCCGTGCTCTTTCGCTGCTTGCTTTGGTGTCGGTCGCGCTCGCCACGCCGAGTATCCCTCGCACTCTGCTCCTTTCAAGGCAGCTCAGCGGAAGCAGCGGCAGTGACTGCTCCAGCACTTGCACTAACGTTTCGGACGTTCTCGAGGTGCGTACAATCGCCACTCAGTCAAGAGTTTTCGGTGTCTGACCATCTTACTACAGAGCTGCACGAGTGCAACTGAGTGCTGCTCAGATAGCACGATCAGCGACGTCGTGTCGTGTATCGACTGCGGTGTCTCTGCTGGTGTCGAGACGGAGTCAGATGGCCAGGACGTTCTCGACCGTAAGTCACATCACCTTCACACAAAGTGGCCACTGAGTGAATATTATCTAGAATATTCGCAAGCTTGCTCGTCTCTTGGCGTCGACACTGGCTCCCTGACGGTACGCTGATGACCGTCGAGTCAGTGCTGATGGACTAACATCCTCTCTAGGTTGGCTCTGGTTCCGCCTCAGCCTCGGCCACTGCCGCGCCAACCTTCAGCGCAAGCTCCGCGACCGCCGCGGGCGCGTCTTCCATCACTCGCTCAGCTGACGCATCTTCCGCGGTCTTCACCCCAGCCACCGCCCTCTCTTCACTCGAGGCCTCCGCTAGCGCCGCCGAGTCGAGCATACGGGCGTCGGCATCGCAGACCGCCTCGGCTGCATCATCCAGCGCCACAGACAGCGGTATCAACATCCCGGGTACGGCCGGCTCGGGTGCTGCTGGTCTGAGTGCGCCCGCGTCTGTTGTTCTGACGGCGGCCATCGGTGTCGTTGCGGCCTTCCTGGCGTAACTGATCGACACTTGATTTTCTTTGCCCGACCTTACTACCCTGCATGTATGGTACATGACTGTCACGCATTTATTTATCAATGCACATACCCTTTACCTGAGCCACTTGTCTGTACTTTCAGTACATGTTGAGCTTGAATCGCTCAGCAAAGAGCCTCAATAAGTTAGCGCTATCACCTTGAATGATCCATCGATACAGAGGTGGGCATGCTGCTTGTTTCCTACAAAAGGGGTGTACAAACAGCCGAGAGGAAAGCGAACAAACAAATGCAAGCAACAAAACATGATCTCAGATCCACATGCGCTGTGGTATATCTACAGGTAAACCGGCCTCTTTCCAAGCCTTGATACCGCCTATGACATCCGTCGCATTCAACAGTCCGAGATCCTGCAGACTCGCAGCAGCTAACGAGCTGGTATACCCTTCCTGACAGATGACGATGATGCGCAAGTCATATCGTGTCGCAATCTCCAACCGCCCATCCAGGCAGCGCGGGTCAAACCGCCACTCCAGTACGTTCCGCTCGATGACCAACGAGCCACGGACGAAGCCGTGCTCCTCGCGTTGCGCTGCCGGGCGGATATCGACCAAAAGCACCGGCATGGGTATAGATGAGTCTTGAAGTTCATCGAACGCTTGTTGCGGTGTGAGACGTTGCAGACGTGTGCGCGCCTCCTCGAGGATGTGTGCGATGGATTTGGAGCCTGGTGGAGGAACGGTTGGGTCGATAAGGTCTTGAGATGACTTCGTGAGCACGTCCCACAACGCGCTTTCGTCGTACGGCGACCATCCTACGTTGCGCACGCTCGCTACCCAAAGCGTCCCGGAGACATCGGCAACGTTCATGGCCTGGACGCGGCCGACGAACTTAGCCGAGGCGAGCAAAGCGGCCCGTTGCACCTGGATGGAAGACGAGCCGCACACCATGAGTGACGTCTCCCCTGCTCCCGTGGTGGCGACTGCGACGAGGAATGACTTCAGCGTGAGAATGCGTTTGATGTGGCCCGCGACAATCTGCAAGAAGTCCGTGTCGTTCTTCTTGCAGAGCGTTAGAGTGACCGCAATCTTCGTCCCGTCAACGTCCTTGAGCTTCCGTACAGCGCGGACTGCCAACCGCTCTGCGACCTGTTCCCGTACATCTTCCAGCGTTCTGAGCGATTGTCTATCGGATTGAGTAGACGTCGAGTCGTCGCTCGCACTCGCTTCTTCAGACTTGTCGGAAAAGATGGGAGTTGTGGCGCTGCTTGTGCTAATCATGGATCGATGGTAGGCTGCGAAGTCCGCGGGGAAGCGATGGATTGGGGTGTCGCCGTAGGTGGTGGGAGATGATGCTTCGGATGTGCTCTCCGATCCTGCAGTCGCGCGCCTTGACGGGCGAGCGATACCACTACCGATTGATGAAGGCATAGTCGAGCTATGAGCGGTGAAGAAGGTCAGCAGTCGTTTCGGGTCATAAGTTCGTGGGTGCGCTTACATCAGAATAGGGTAGATAAGATATACGGAGACTAGAGAAGTGTTTGCCAAGGGTTCGCGAAGATTCCGGTGTCTATTGACGAGATTTAGTTACCGGTGGTGACGAACGCAACAGCGCATGAACTAAGGAAAGCCACTTACATAGAGAGATATTCCAAGGAGAACCAAGAAGAGAGACGGAGATTACAGCAGAGAACTCGAAGCCCGGTATACAAGTATCAATAAACAGTCGTTAGATAGCCACAGCTACTGGAGATGCAGAAGGTCGAAGCAGCAAGATTGGCCGAGGGGGAGCGGTCGTTGAATGGTGATCCACAGAACCAGAAAGCAGTATATAGGTTCGAGTACCGAGTGAACGCAGATGGTGGTCGAGGGCAAGGACGGAAACGAGGCTCTGGTAGCCTCACATGGCGATGGAGTTTGCCAGGAGAACGCGGCAACGTGACAATGCGACATGATGCATGACGCGCCGACGCGCAGCCGGAGGCTGCGCCTTGCGGCCTCGCCGCCATCTTCTCTCGTTCACTCCCTCACAGGCAGACACTGGTGGTCTTGCATATATATCCGCACATTCGAAGACCCTTACGAGGAAGAGCACACAGTCGTATCCAGGGAAGTGATCCGTATCACAACTTGACAGCATGGCATCTGGGCATACTCGTACATTACAGTCCATTGGTTCATACATGTATTGTACATATCTGGGCCACAGAACTGCTACTGCTCACCACTTCTCATGAGCAGGGCGCACTGAGGCATACAACGCGATCAGTAACCTCGAAGGTATATTCAAGTATGAGATGACTCACGGTCGAGTTCGAACGACCAGGCCGAGCGATGTTGATTCGTGAGGTATAGGTATGCCTAGCAGAAGCAAGTCACGCTGATGATACAAGCCAGACATGAGAGAACACGTACTTGAGCGATAGCCTCCGGGTTCAAGAGGATGTCGGGATTGTTGGGGTTCTCTTTAGCAAGTGGGTAATACTGGCGCGACTTGTCGGTGCTGATAACTAAAGGCCATTGGTTCAGTCCCACTCCCATTGTGTTTTGTGACACATGACTGACCTCCATCAATGATAGTCTGTCGACAAGATATGCGGTCAGTGAGGGCAGATACAATCGCTCAGATGTGAGAAACATACATGTGCTACCTGCATGGGAAGTCAGTAAAAATGTTGATAAGCGCGACTGGATGTGCACACTGACATGGATATTGGCCTTTCCAAACTCCTTGTTGAGGGACTGAGCCAGTGCACGCAGGCCGGACTTGCCGGGCGAGAACCCGGATGTCATGGTATTTCCCCTGATGCTCGCCGTCGCACCTGTAAACAATAATGTACCGCGCTTGCCACTGTCATCAATACTTTGCTCCTTAAACTTCAAGATTGCCTGGCGAGAGAACGCGTATGCTCCCTTGAGGGTAGCTTCAAGAGACGTGTCGATCTCTTGCTCCTTCACGTCGAGGAACCCTTTGAACGCCCCGAAAGATGCGTTGTAGAGCGCGACACGGATATCAGCATCTGGCCAGTGCTGCTTGACACTGTTGAAGGCGTCTGTGACGTTCTTGTAGGAGTACGATTCGACAGGGAATGGAGCGGCCTGCGGCAACGGTCTCAACAACGGGCGTCTCAACTAACGGGAACTACTGCTCACCTCTCCCCCAGCATCATTCAACTCCTGGGCGAGCTTCTGGGTTTCTCCGCTGGAGTCTCGCGCAAGAAGGGCGACGCGATATCCGTTCTTCGCGAACAGGCGTCTATCAAGCACGCGTGAGTTCACATCGGTCAGCTAACGGCCAGTGACGCGTACGCGGTTGCAGCACCAGTTCCTACGTAGAGTTTACGGGGTCAGAGTCATGTTTGACGATAGACGATATGCCTACGTACCGGATCCGTTCCCAAGACCAGCTACAAGAAAGATAGGGCGGGCAGACATGGTGTGGATAGTCGAAGTTACAGGCGCCGAGCCGGTGCGAGTGTACGTCTTATAAGGCGTCTCAGACGGCGTTGCTCTTCTCCAACCGAGGCTAGTCGTAGAGATGGCGTATTCAGATGAGCAATCGGGTTCACATGATGAAGAGTAATCTCGTCAGGAGCTGCCAGAACTCGCAGCGAAGAAGGGTCCATGGACTTCAGTTGATGAGTAAGAGGAAGTTGAAGGGATCAACGATGCGCGGCAAGCGGAGTTCCTGGGAAGATGGCGCCGTCGACGCCTAACATCGCGACAACCTCGCAAGTTCTCAAGTGTACGGAAAGTATAGAACAACATATGACTGCATGCGGTAAAGTACATGTGATGCGACAAGAGCAAAGCTTTCTGAACAAGAATGGAGTTCGTGAATGTAGTCGACTTCAATATCCTTCGTGAAATAGTAGATTCGCAGTCTAGGGTCGTATAACGGCCACAAAGCTACAAAACGCTCGGTAGCCGTCGATAGTCGTTAACAGTCGTATCGTCGTTGGCCGGCTTCGTCCATTTATCTAGAGAAGGAACTCGTCATTACACAGTCAAGTCCAGCGCTGGTCATCCTGAACGCACCTGGGCAAGCGAGGAAGTATCCGTCAAGGGTGTTGATGAAGCGCTCGCGGTATTCGTCAGGGGGTATGACCGTGACCTCCTTGCTATCGCGAGCGAGACCCTGTTTCGCCTTATACTCGAGAGTCTTGGCGAACGTATAGCTGCCAATGGTGTCGACCAGACCGCAGGAGATCTCTTTCCTCTCCTGATCGATCCCGAGTAGGAGCCTGAAAGAAAGGTGAGCACCCGACAAATTCACCGTGTCACGAGACGGGACTGACGAATAGTCCATGATATTGCTCTTCGCCAGGAAATCGCAGTCGGCCCGGAGGCCCTCATGCAGGACAGCTTTCGAGTGCGGATACACCAGCGTAAGCGCCTTCTCCTGACCCTCGATCCACTCGCCGTCGAAGAGTGTCTTGCTCGTGCTGGCGTCAGTTTTGACTTTACGACCCTGAATGCCCTTCAGGTCGAACGTCTTTGCGATCTTCTGCTTGTAGAAGAGGTTCTCCATGACCAGCAGGTCCGAGCGGGCTTGTACGTTGCCCGTCTCGAGGTTCCGTATCTCGATCGTGTAGAAGCCCAGCAGCTTGGCAAGCAGAGAGGCGCGACTGGCCGTTCCCTCCATGTGCTTGAAGTACGAAGGTCCAAGATCGATGAGGACTTGCCTAGGAATATAATGTGGTTAGCAGGGGAGTCTGCAGGGGAGTTCATATGGCATACAAGTCTGCGACGTTCCAAGCGTTGACGAGCGTCTTGATGATAAACCTATCATCCGCGGTCTTCCAGAAGTTACTCTTGCTCTTCCCGCCGTCCGCGCTCCAATTCGCACTACGCGACATAGACCTCACAAAGACCTCGCTGTCCTCGATCCCGCACTGCCGCCGGAGCGCATCGAACTGCTTAGCGTAGTAGACGGTACACGAGAACTTGAGCTTCCCGATGGTCCAATCGTACTTGATATGCGGGCGCTGATCGATGGCGAGTACATCATCGGGCGCTAGCAACCCGTGGGGACTACGAGGGTTCGGCGACCTCGGGGCGCCCACGTCGGATTTGACGATGTAGCGCACCGCATTCGTGATGGTATTCCAAGTAAAGCCAGAGCTTGTGCCGTCCTTAGCCACTGGCGGCGGCGGTTCGTTGTTCATAGACGCAGCATCGACTTCCGAAGTAGACGATTCGTGTGGCGCTGACGCCGGCACGTCTGCAGGACCTGCAGTGCGCGCGCTACTATCCGAGTCGCTCGAGCTATTCTCGTCCTCGTGATCGCTCTTCGAGATGACCGTGCTCGTCTTGCGCCGCTCGATGTGTGCCGATACGATAGCAGAGTTGCGACCCTCGCTAGGCGCACTCTGACTACCAAGATCGCTGCTGGACGCAGAGTCGAGCTCATGTAACAGTTTCTCAATGGTGTCCGCGTTGGCAGGTGCGGCGCTGATGTTGCCGCTGGCTTCTGTTTTGCTCACGTCGACGGCGGCCTTCGCGTGTTGTGTCTCGCGCGCAGCGAAGCGGCTCGAGAAATTGCTGAGCAAGCTCTCTGAGCGCTCGCCGTTGGTAGGAGCACGGGTGCGCAAGACGTCGCGAAGGGAAAGCAAGGCCGTCGGATCGCGAGGATGCTCCTTCCGACTGATGACGGCGCTATACGTCTCCGGTTCAACCCATATCGTTCCATCGTCGTCCGGATCGAGCTTGGGCGTCGAGCGGAAGAACTTGAAGCCACTGTCAGAGGCCGTAGAGGCAGCAGGGGAGATGAAGCCCGTCATGTTGGGCAATGTGAACTGAGCGCCGTTTGACTCCCTCGTCGCGGTAGCATCCGTGCCTGTACGCCGATGGATAAGGTCGAGCAACTCTTGCTGGTAATCGCGCGAGCTGAGGGTGAACGCAATGATACTGCCCCAATCGTCTTCTTTGATGATGACGTTGCTCCCTGGGACAGCATGGTACGTCTTGCCCCACCACCAAGGTCTCTCGATGCGCTTGTGTGCCTCGACGAGCTCAGCGTGAGAGACTTTAGGTAGGTGCTTAGCCTCCCAAGCCGCTAGTCGGCGCAAGGCACCGAGTCCGGCAGTGTGGAAGGCTCGCCGGATATCGTTCAACGCACGATCCTGCGCGTCGCGCAAGGCACTGTACAAGGCCTGTTCGGTGCGTTGGAAGGCATATCGCATCTTGTTCAGTAGCGCGAGGGCGTCTGGTGGCATTGCTTCATCAAGCGGACGCTGGAGTGAAGTCGGGGTCTGCTCTGTGGAAAGTGGCACGCTCTGGGCTCGAGATTGCGGCAAGGGGCGCGTTGTCATGGACGAAGACGTTGAGGCGTAGGATGCATCGGATACATGGCGCTCAATTGCGGGAGCTGATGGAGTAGGGGAGAGTGTAGGCCGTCGGGCAACAGTAGAGTTGGTGTCGGGCGTCTCAGACAGTGAAGTTGAACTCTGCCGAGGAGTTGAAGGCGCCGGTATGCCTTCATCGCGCTCAGGTGACTCGTCCCAGGTCGAGGGCAAGCGAGGGAGAGACTTGTGGTACGTGGTGCTCTGATCCTCATCGTCTAGGAAGTGCTTCTCCTGTGTACCGTCTTAGTAAAGCCCAGGTATTCATTTTTGAGCTGACACTCACGAGCATGTCCAGATGATTGGCAATCTCCTGCCACCAGCCTTTGATCTCCTTCCACTGCACCTTCTTCTCCTCGCTGTCCAGGTCCCTGCCGCTGGAGCTGGAGATTGCGCTAGCACTCGGAATCGAGGCCATGGCGGAGTGATTTGACCCTCGAGTAATCTGCAGGCGCGGTAATCGAAGCTCGAACAAGTCGTGAACCTGGCTGACGGAGAAGCTCACGACGTGCTGTCGATAAGCAAATCGTCGTACGAGGGCGAGGCGACTGCGAGGTAGAGGCGCATCATCGCCCGTCCAGGGTTGAGGTGGTGCGGTAGTATGATCACAGGGTGGTTTCGTTAGTGCAGCGAGCCGTGGAGAGTAGAACAGCAGTTCGAGGAACTTTCCAAAGGAGAGCATACTAGAAGGACCGTCAGTGGAAGGCATCTGACAGTATTAACAGCAACTCACGAAGTACCATCTGACATGCGGCGCTTCGATGTCGTCTCGCCACATACAGAGCAGGCTTCCCAGACCTCGATATGGTCCGCCTCGGGATCTCCGGTCTCCAGCACTTGCACGTCGGCGATAACGCGCAAGCCATTATGTAACCATCGGCGCTCATGCATCCCACGCGGCGCCCCGCAGTGCGGTCTCCCACAAGGCTCCTCGAAAGTTGAACACGTCTCGATGATAGCTTCGCCCAGCAGACTATCCGCGTCTACGCCGTCTATTGCGTTCGTGGCGTAGTATGCAAAGGTCCGCAAGCGTGCGCGCGGACCGCAGTGCAAGCGTAGGGAAGAGGAGCCCAGGACGGACATCTCGCTGGTGACAGATGAAGATCGCTCGGCGGGAGGTGGGATGTGTTCCGAGTACAGCACGGAAAGGCGCTGTTGGCGCAGAAAGCCTGTAACGCCGATCATGCCCGTGCCCTTCGCCTTTCTACCCTCCCATCCATAGATGCTGGCCAAAGCCGAGCGCTCTTCTCCCGAAAGCCGTCGCCCCGGCGTCTCGCGCTCCCTCTCAGCAAGTCGAACCAGCATGAGCGGCGGCTGAATGACCACGTCTGGGGATGTGGAGAGGACCGATTGTGCTTCGCGTAGCCGCCGATGTACTGTCTGAAATACCGGCAGTTCTTGCTCTGGAGCAGTTCGTACGCTCGCTGCTCTGCGAGGCTCGCCAAAGAACGAGAACCGTCGGGCTCTGATAGGTGTGGGCGCGTCATCTACGGGTGTAGGAGGCGGAGGCGCAGATGGTTCTCGCGCTGCGATGTCAAGAGAACCTCCGCGGGGCGCGTCGGAATTAAGTCCAGAGTGCTGCCTGGGGAACATAGTGTTGGTGCGCTTGCCGAGAAGTCCCCATATGGACCTAGACAAAAACGATTCGCGTAGATTATGGGGTCGGGCATCCGGAGAAGAGGTGCGAACGCCTAGGGAAGGTCGGGCGATGGATAACATGCGGTTGATCGGGCGGGCGCGTTCGCGCGATTCGGGTTGAGGAAAGCGGAGCTCTACATTGAAATCGGAAAGCAAACTTTGTTCAAGCAGGATGGAAAGCAAGACATAGAGCGAGGATCGTAACACTTTGACTAGAGACTCATATTCCGCGGATGGGACGCGGGGCGTGAAATGAAAGCTGCCTCCGACTAGGATCATAGGTTCGGGCCGTTGTACAGGATCGGCTGTGCACGAGTTTCAACAGTGATATCCTGGAAGTTGTAATGAAGACCTTACTTTCCCATTCCTCAAACCCGTACAGGCAGTTGCGCTTCGCGATGACTTCGTTGCCGGCAGGATCGTCGCCGAATAGATCGGGCTTGGGTAGCCCAAACTTGCCAGCACGGAACGAACAAGTTGGCGTGTGGTCTGAGAACTTCGTGGGCGGTTCCTCCGACGAAGCCAGAGTGAATAGAACATGCTTTGCAATTGGGCCTCCGCGAGGCTTGTTGAGAGAGGCGACGTCGCGCAACTGCTGCAATGCTAAGCGGTCACGTTTCGTGTCTTCATCCGGCGAATGCGCTCGCGACGGGAAGGCAATGCCGCCTTGCTCAGACATGGCCGGACTACTCGCTCTTCGAAGGTCGGTCTCAGCCGTCCTGCCGCCGACCTGGCCATTGGCGCCGCTTATCGAGGTCGAGCTCGCCGTGTCCCACCTACGCAGCGTGCCAGGACCCTCAACCTCCACTTTCTTTCTCTTCCTTCTCGACTTGGCCAACTTTATTCCCGCGAGCCACTCCTGATCCCGCATTGCCTCTGTGACCTCGACGAGCGCACGTTCCATCGTGGACGCCCATCCTTGCAAAGACCCCGGCTCAGATGATAGCGCCGCATCCAAAAACTTTCGTAAGTGTTCACAGCCTTCTATTGTGAGGTCTGTATCCGGAGAATGAGGGACTTCAGGAAGCGGCTTCGAGTTGGAAGCCATGAGAGCTCAGAGACTTCAATATAGAACGTCGCGCAGTCGTGGCAGAACGCAAGGCGGAGAGAGCTGACTCGTATTTCCCTTGATACACAGCAGAGAGTTCATCCTCATCCCGAATGGGACGTCTAGGAGATGGGAGGTGTCAAGCTGCAGTGTTGAGATCGTGCACCAAAGTCATGGCAGGAGGTTCCCGCGGTATCCACGCGAGACCAGATTTTGATGGCTAGGACAGCCTGCCGCCGGCAACACCGCGGTTGATTTTGCGCGTCGACGACCATCTACATGATGGCCGCGAGCATACACGATGGCATACCCTCCTCTGGCCAAGCTTCACGGATCGGATAGTCTCTATAAACAGTCAATTATCGAGACACCGTCCAACCCCGTCGGGCCGCGTGCGCCGCCGCGTATGCGCATGAGACTGTCAGGACCTCTGCACCTTACTCCAGTTATGATGCATGAGCGAACCGGTGACGTTCGCATGAAAACGGCATTTGCGACTTTGCGAGGGAATGGCTGGGGGAGCAGATGCAAGGAGGGGGCAAGGAGTATCATCCTCTCAACAATCGGCAAACCGAGGACCTACTGCTCGCCCCAGAGATCTTCGCTACAGCTCTGAAGAATGTTGTACGCCGAACGCCTGGCCAAATTCCCTCTCTACCCCCATACCCACGCTCTGCGATCCACCTGTGCGAAGATGATCCAGCGGCTCACAGGATTGGACGCATGATCTATGACGCTGAGCGTCTAAGGCGTCTAAGAATCTTATGCCTGTTTGACTAAGTTCATCTCACTCTACTTCGGCATAGAAGATCTCGAAGGGGAAACCATCCAATGAAGTCTGAAGTCTGTCCCAAATAATGTTGCCATTCGCGCGATGCAAGTCCGGAAAGTCCTTTCCTATGGTTGGCTCTCACTTCGTGCCTTCTCCACCAACCAGAACACTGACCACGATGCTTAGTGAGCGCAAGCGTACCGAAAAGCCAAGATAGCAATCACGTAGCCACTCGAACCTGGTGACCCTCCTTCGTTCAAGGGAACCGTTTTACCTCCCAGACTAACGGGTCGCCCGTTGGAGGGCGTAACGCCCAGGTCATTGAGTAGGTCCGCCTTCTCAACTCACAGGCATCGCTGCTGAGAGCTTCGTATATCAAGGTTTCGGCTGATAGCCCGCAAACTTCAGTCAGCTTGAGCAGCGCTTTCGATGATGTTATATATTCTTTCCATCGAAATCAGCGACAAAACTGACTTGTATTGTGTGGCGCGCAGTCTGCACGAAAGGTCGGTCTCAGATTGCTAGCACGCATTGTTGGATCTTATGACGAGCGCTGAGAGGCTCGTGCCACTGAAAGGCCCCTATCTCACCCTTGTATCTGGCTCTCCATTCGTCTCCCGCTCCAGTCAACTGACAGCCGCAAGAATATTGAAGCGAGCCACAGCAGCTTCGTCTCTCCCTCGACTACTTTTGCGCAGTCTCTTGACCCGTCATGAGGTGGGGAGCTGACTTCTAGGTCTGGACGGCTTCCCATAGGACCGAGTATAATAACTTCATGGTGAGAGCCATGGTCATTAAGGGATCATAACTGACCCGCTATACTCTGCCTTCGCGAGCTCTACGTCTAGCATGCATCCAGAGGAAGTCGATGTCATCGTCTGCGGGTACGAACCTCGTCCATACCCTGTTTGTACGCTCTGCTGACTTGCTTCGACAGCGGCGGTCCCGCAGGTATGCTGACCTCTAGGTCAATGCGTCTACCATACTCACAACTGTGGCGCAGGATGTGTCGTAGCCGGTCGGCTCGCATACGCGGACCCCAGTCTGAAGGTCATGCTCATCGAAGGTAAGTCTGAGTCCCTGCCATTCCAGGCGTTGTCTGACAACTCTGCCAGGTGGCGCGAACAACCGCGACGACCCTTGGGTATACCGTCCCGGTATCTATGTCAAGAACATGCAGCGCGATGACTTGTAAGCTTTGCGTGCCTTACTCCGAGCGCAGACGACTGACCGCTTCCAGCAACGAGAAGGCAACCTTCTACGACGATACGATGGCGTCGAGTCATCTTCGTGGTCGGCACTCCATCGTACCGTGAGTCTCGTATACGACGACGCCCATATGCTCTCGTTGACATCCTAGCATAGGTGCGCGAACATCCTTGGTGGAGGCTCTAGCATCAACTTCCAGATGTACACCCGCGCGTCTGCCTCGGACTGGGGTGAGCAGCGAGCGACACGGGCACCTCGAGTCCTTTCGCTGACTTCGCCGATTTTAGATGACTTCAAGACCGAAGGTTGGACCTACGAAGGTGAGGCACCTTCTCGCGCTCGTAACTCCCCATCGCTGACTCCTTCATGTAGACCTGTTTCCGCTCATGAAGAGGGTAGGACCTTGTGCATGACTTCAACGACACGCTTACTAATCACTCATCTCCAGCTCGAGAACTACCAGAAGCCCGTCAACAACGACTCTCACGGCTACGACGGCCCCATTGCCATCTCAAACGGCGGCTCTGTCAACCCCCTCGCCCAGGACTTCCTCCGTGCCGCAGACACCATCGGCATACCCTTCAGCGGTATGTTCCTGCCTTATCCGTACACACAACATACTAACGCGCCATGAAGACGATATCCAGGGTCAGCGCTCTCTCATTCGCCATATCGCACGAGCTTATCTGATCCATATTCCCAGACTGCAAGACGGCGCACGCGTCCGAGATCTGGGCCAAATACATCAACCGTAACACCGGTCGTCGCTCCGATGCTGCGACGGCGTACGTGCACAGCGTGATGGACGAGCAGACCAACCTCCACCTGCGCACGAACGCGCGTGTCTCTCGCGTCATCTTCGATGGTGACCGCGCCGTCGGCGTCGCGTACGTACCCTCGCGCAACCGCGGTGACAAGGCCCAGTACAGGGAGACTATCGTATGTTGCCTCTCTTTCTCGTATCCGATTCTGTGCGTTGAAATTGTGGCAGGTTCGTGCGAGCAAATATGTTGTGCTTTCTTCTGGCACGCTCGGCACGCCCCAGATCTTGGAACGCTCGGGTGTCGGCAGCAAGGACCTCATGCAGAAGCTCGACCTCAAGTGCGTAAGCGACCTGCCCGGCGTCGGCGAGCAGTACCAGGACCACTACACGACCCTTTCTAGTTCGTCCCTTTCCTCAATTCTGCTTTGATGGGCCGGATGCTGACTTCGCTTACCAGTCTACCGCGTGAGCGAGGAGACTCCGACGCTCGACGCCTTCCTCCGAGGCGACCCGGAGGCGCGCAGGGAGCTCTTCCAGGAGTGGGAGATGAGCCCCGAGCGCGCACGGCTCAGCAGTAACGCCATCGACGCCGGCTTCAAGATTCGTCCTACCGAGTCTGAGCTCAAGGAGATGGGTCCCGAGTTCAACGAGCTCTGGAACAGGTACTTCAAGGACAAGCCTGACAAGGTACAGTGATGCTTGATTGGTGACTTCTTCGATCGGCGCTTACACCCCGTAGCCCGTGATGTTCGGCTCCATCGTCGCCGGAGCGTACGCCGACCATGCTCTGCTCCCGCCTGGCAAATACATGACGATGTTCCAGTACCTTGTAAGCGTTCTTGTCTTCTAGACTCCCGAACAGCTTGTTGACACTGGTACGTAGGAGTACCCCGCGTCGCGCGGCAAGATCCACGTCTCCTCGCCGAACCCCTACGTCGCGCCATTCTTCGACTCCGGCTTCATGAACAACAAGGCCGACTTCGCGCCCATCCGCTGGTCGTACAAGGTCACCCGCGAGATTGCGCGCCGCATGGATGCCTTCCGCGGCGAGCTCACCTCGCACCACCCGCACTTCCACCCGGCGTCTCCAGCTGCGACGCAGGACATCGACATCCAGACTGCTCGCCAGATCCTGCCCGGTGCCTTCACCACGGGTATTCATATGGGTACTTGGCATCGCCCTGGCAAGCCCTTCAACGCTTCGAAGGTCCACGAGAACATCCAGTACACCGAGGACGATGACAAGGCCATCGACGACTGGGTCGCCGGTTAGTATATGGCTTACATCGCACTGATCACGCACTAACTTCCCATTATAGATCATGTCGAGACGACCTGGCACTCCCTGGGTACATGCGGTGAGTACCGAGACCGCCCGTCATATTCAGACTGATACTGAGCGGCATCACTAGCCATGAAGCCGCGCGAGCAAGGAGGCGTCGTCGACAGCCAGCTCAACGTCTACGGCACCAAGGGCCTCAAGATCGCCGACCTTTCCATCTGCCCCGACAACCTCGGCACCAACACGTACAGCTCTGCTTTGCTGGTCGGCGAGAAGGCCGCAGACATCCTCGTGGGCGAGCTCGGCCTCAAGATCCGTACCCCGCACGCGCCCATCCCGCATGCGCCGCCTCCCACTGGCAAGCCCACCACCCAGCAGGCTCGTCGTTGAGTTCATGTGATGCCTTTGTTTTGATGGAATCTTGCCTGTAGCAATGACTGGGCGTGTATGTTAGTTTGTACGATATCGTGTTCAAGCCAAAGCCATCTGTTTCTCATCCCTCCTGTAACATCAGCTTGTACCATCATGTAACGATCTAACATCTCTATCCGATGCAACTTTCTGCGATGCTCTCCAGTTCGAGTCTTACAATCCGAGTACTGCATCAGAGTATGACCCAGTTCAACTTGGGCGGTGTTGAGGTACAGCACGTCGGAAGAATGTGTTCGGTTTACGAGGTCAGCCATTCGCGAAGTTGAAAAAGGTATTGGAACGTATGTAGTACAGCATCGGGAAGATAAGCTCGCAATCTTAGTTTCCTTTCATGATCGCGTCTATCCGCGCGCCTTGAATCCGACGGCGCAGACTCCGTAGCACAGGGAACCCGAACACCGTAACGCCAGCAACATACCCCAACTATATTATGATCAGACTACTGTGCGACGATAATGGGCATTGAGATACGTACCGCGACCGCCAAAGGCATCCTGTGCTTGCGGGCCATATGCGCAGTATATACACCCTCTAGAGAGTGCAAGACGAACACAAGACCCCATGCACCTTTGACAACCCATGTTGGAGCGATCGTGGAACGCAAGAAGCGTGCAGGGTTCCACCACGGCGCCGGGTCATCGAGTGGTGCGAATGTGCAGTATAGCAAGAGGAGTATGGCAATCCCGGTTTGCCAGACGGCCTCCAGCGGAAGATGGAAGGACGTGATCTGGGGAATCTTGCCCTACACAGGATGAGTATACGTTCCTTCGCTAGTAGATTGTGAACGTACCTCTCCTAGAGCTTCATCTGCATCTGCCTTCATTGCTAGTAGACGCGGCTTGACCTCCTCGTACCCTGCGAGCGGAGGATCGAATGGAACGCGCACAGATTGCGGAGTCGCATTCGATTTCGTGACATAGGTCAAGTCCATGCCCTGAATATGGGGTTAGACCATATATTGACGCATAGTGTATGGGCATACCTTAGAGTCGATAGACACCATCTTAGCCGAGATCAAGTCGCTAGCCTTTACTTTGCCATGGTACTTCGCGTACCCTACTAGGGTATCCGGGTGCGAAGACATGTACATGCATAGGAATCCAGACTTGTCCTTGAGGGGGTCAGACATCTTGGTAGCAATGTGGAAAGTAACACGTTCTATCGATTATATATCCGCAGAATCGACGTGGTGGGAGGCGTGTACATGGTGGGAGGCAGGTCTTCCCTCGGTCCTCGGGCATAGCGTCGCTCCGGCACCGGCGCGAACTACGCCAAACGCGCCCACATGACTTGTTCAAGGTTCGCGTCTTATGTAGGTGCTTGTCATTCAGCTGCCCCGCGCCCTTGCCGTCAGCTTACGCATCTGCGAAGAGTAACGAGCAGAAGCATCGTGCACCTTCGCTTCTTTGAGAAGGTGCTCGTATGGAAGAGATGGCGTGAGAAGCGTATATGATAGCGAGTGACGGGTATGGTACTGAATATAACAGTTCGTAACGAGAAGAATGCAGTGTCCGTGAAAAAGTCCGTGAGAATGCAAGTGTCAGAATAGTGAAAAAGGTCCGTAAGGTATGTCTCTCCAGAAAAGGTCCATGTTCCGCCCATAGTCCGTCCCATGTAGGCGATTAGATGTAAAGTAAAGTAGGATCGAAAGCGATGCGGGTGCGATGGATGCGAAGTGCGAAAGCCATCGACGACTGTAGATCACTGTCCGAGGCCCTTGATGCGGGACTCGGTCGGAGGTACTCCATGACCCGTGTTTTCGACGAACGAGTTGTAAGCGGGGCAGAGCTGATCCCATTCGGGAGGTGGGGTGACTGTGTCCGAAACGTCGCTCGAAGCCTCCGCAAAGCTATCAGCACAGGATCAGTGACAATCTTACATCCCAGGGCCACAGAAGACGTACACAACAGCGAAACCTCCGGTCAGATGCCAGTCACTACCATGTCTCATTAGTGATAAGACCCGTGTACGGCACACGATGCTACTCACATGTGGCAGTGCAGGATCCACGGTCCGGGGTTATCCGTACGGAAGCGAATCTTGACGTCCGACCTGGTATCGTCCGGTCCAGAAGTGATAGCCACGACGTCGCGAAGAAGAGGATCAACGGTGTTCATCGTGGTATTCCCGGCAGACTCGACTACCCAGAAGGTGTGTCCGTGCAAGTGGATCGGGTGCGGCTGGAGGTGCAAGTCAGTCTATGATAATAAGAGCAGCAAAACGCAGGTGCACGCACCCCAGCAAGAGCAAACGCGGGCATCTGGACTTCGATCGTCTTATTGCGCGGCAAGTAGTAGATGCTTCCAGAGGGCATCAGGTCATTGAGGTTCTTGCCGCTCATGACCTGAAGAAGCACAGGCATCGGGTCGGCGTTCTTGAACGATTTGCCGTTGACAGAGAACTTCCCATTCGTCCTGTCGAGGTCGAAGTTCAGGTTGACGATCATGTCCGGTTCGGGCTATCGAGAACGGTGAGCATGATGTCCAAACGGAACTCTGAAGAACATGACGTACGACGGGCGACGGCTCGAGAGGATGCAGGTTCGTCTCGACGAGAGGGTTCTTCGACGACAGCTCCTTAGAAGTCGGATCTGCGACATCAATGCCATCGTAGTTCAGGATAGCGCTGTTCAAGCCGTTCTTCGTGCTGTTGTTAGTAGCCGAGTTGGGAATCGCTCGGATCCCTGCGATGACGTCAACAGTAGCACACTATGAAGCGGACAATGGTACTTACAGTAGTTATCCGCGGGCTGATTGGCATTCAGCACAAACGAGTAACGCTGAGCCGCGAAGATCTGGATAGACGAGACGTTGTGTGGCCTGACAGAGTTACCGTCCGCCTCGATGACAGTCAGAACATGTTGGTCGATGCTGAACATGAAGTTGGGGTCGCAGCTGATCGAGATCAACCTGAAGCGGTACCTACACGGTGATCTCAGTCAACGGGGAAGCAACAGTTTGCATGAGGTGGCGTACCGAGTGCCAGACTTCACATTGACAACAGCGAGCGAGTTGTTGGTCGGACCACCAGGATAACGGCCGACACCATTGATGAGCGTGGAGTTCGGAGACGGCACACCGCTAGCGTCCTTGCTCAAGTAGTGGTACCAGTCGTTCAGAGTAATGACTGTGCTGTCTGGATGGATGGAAGATGAGGGTGGTCAGCATTGCTACAAGCAGTGCGAGACCATACGCAGACGCACCGTCGTCCACATCGTATAGGTGCTTCTGAGGGTCCTCCGGATCGCGCACGATCAAAGCGCCCCGGAGTCCATCGCAGTATTGGTTGCTGTAATGGCTGTGATAGAGGCTGACATCTATCGCGTTAGCGACCTGCAAACAGCAAATGCTTCTTGGAGCTCACAAAGTCCCACTAAGGGAAGTAACACTCGTCAGCGGGCGCTCAAAATGTATGAACTGATAGACGTACGCCTGATCAGGAATGGTAAAGTTGTAAAGGAAAGAGTTGCCGGGAATGATAGGGCACTGTGTCACGCTGTCGACGCCATCGGCCCAGTTTGAGTGAAGCTGATCAATGCCGTGCCAGTGCTAGACAGGTGCTTAGTAAGCTACCGCAGGTAGCGGGATTGGAAACGGTACGTACCACGGTTGTCACGACGTCAAGGCCATCCGTGATGGTCAGTTCGTTGGTCACATTAACCTCAAGCCGATCGCCCTGCGATTCGGTTAACAATGTCCGACGCTCAGGCCAATGATACACACCTTGTTTGCGTTGATGATTGGTCCGGGGAAGGATCCACCGGCAAGGACGGCGCTGTAAGAGTATGAGATACACGTGCTATTAGCGTGTAAGGAGTGACAGATGCACGTACAGGCGCGAGAATCCATCGAGATTCACTTCCTTGTTGACGATCTTCAACTGGGTCGAAACAGTAGCAGCGAACGTATAAGAAGCAAAAGAGCAAGAAAGAAGCGTCGAGGCAAGAAAGGAAAGGGAAAAGGAGCCCATCTCGACGAATGAAACCCGAGAAAAGGGAACGGAAAGCGGAAGCGGAAAGTGAAAGGGGAGACACAAGAGGCCTTCAACTGGGAGGCCTGTCGCCTTTATACCCTAGTATAAGCGGGTGTTGATGAGCTGTATGAAGGATCAGACACTAAGAACACGGCCTTCTCCAGCTCAATATCGCCAATTTCGAAGTGGTGCAGCAGCGCATAGAGGTTATTGAACACCGCCGTAGGCTAGCGGGTGAAACCGACGGACTTGCCAGCAGGAGACCACGAGGCGTGCGCCCACTCTGATCAATGCCGCCAAGACACGTACAGCCTGATGGTAGGCGAGCATATTGCGTATAGTTAGGCTTGCCAGGTTGGACAGGCGAAGAGGGGCGAAGGAAGCCCGAGTTCTATATCCTACTCCTGCAAGTGCCAGGGCACCAGGTCGCCTCACAATGGCGTCGCATGTTCTGTCGATACGGTTGTTGTCGTCCGTGAACTCAGTAAGCGGAGTACCGCCATATGCGCTCGGTGATACCAACGTGTTCGTGTAAGACATGTCGAGAGCCGGTCAAGAAAGGCGGAAACCTGCCGCACCGCATTCGGTCAAGAGACACCGAAGTCCGTTGTAGGTCCCGTAGGCCATACCGCCACCTCGAAAGATTAAGCACCCGACGTATAGAGTAGTGGTGTATATCAAGGGATCTATATCAAATTATAGACAGTAGGTAAGTATAAATGGCGCATTAAATGTATGGACGGAACCCGAATCTCAAAGGCCAGCGGTAGATGTCACTCCAACTGGCGGTGTAGCCGATAACAACGCATCATCCAGAATCGATCCTTTCGCCCTCTGCGACTGAGCATATGTCCTTTTGGCGTATCGAAGCAGTGCGACGACCCCAGACGCGGTGACGCCCTCCATCCTCTTGGCGGCGCCGATACTTCTCGGACGTATGCGACCAAGCCGCTCGCGCTCTTCGTTATTGAGTCCGGGTACGGTGGTGTAGTCGATGTCGGGTTGAAGTGCGAGCCCTTCGTCGGCTCGGAAGAGTGATAGCTCGGCTTCTTGTCTGTGTAAGAACACCGCGTATCGAGCCTCGATGCCAACGCGCTCAAGTACGCGCGCATCGATACCCTTCAGGGCGGGCAGAACGGCAAAGAAATCCTGGACGCTGAGACTGGGCCCACAGAGGAGATCGTACGCCGTGCGCTTGATCCCATCACGTTGCAAGTGGATGCCATGTGCGTCCCATCCTTGAGGACTGAGCGATTCCTTCCGCAAAAGCTCGATCGTATGCGCCATCTCGTCCCGCGTCTGTCTAAACGCGCTCAACCGCTCATCTGAGACAACGCCCGCAAGGTATCCCAGTTCTGTCAGGCGCGTGTCGGCGTTGTCGCTCCGTAAAGAGAGACGGTACTCCGATCGCGAGGTGAACATGCGGTCTGTTAGGCGAATGCAGTTGTTAGAACTCGGAATATGGACGGGAGCGGAGTTGAACACCGCTTACATGGTTCTTGTGCACCCTTGTTGATGAGATCGTCGACCATCACTCCGATGTATGCGTCGGCGCGGGTCAGGATGAATGGCGCTCGACGGAGCGCTGCAAGACCTGCATTGATACCTGCGTACACACCCTGAGCAGCGGCCTCTTCGTAACCAGTCGTCCCGTTGATTTGCCCGGCAAGGAAGAGGCCTTTGATGCGCTTGGTCTCCAGCGTTGCCGTCAACTCGCGAGGGTCGACGAAGTCGTACTCGACACCATACGCTGGACGGACCATCTCCACGTTCTCAAGTCCAGGTATCGTTCGTAGCATAGGCAGCTGTAGCTCCTCTTCCATGCTATTCGAGATGCCGTTCGGATAGATGATATCTATATCTTATCAGCGTCGCCAATGCGCACCAGTCGACGGAACGCACTAGAGTCATAGCCTTCGGGCTCCAACCAGACTATATGGCCGTCCCGTTGCCCGAAGCGTTTAATCTTGGACTCCAATGACGGGCAGTAGCGGGGGCCTGTAGTGTTTCGTAAGTGAGTCGAATGAACAACCTTCTTTAGGCGAAACGAACCTTTCTTGGTTTCCTGGATATGAACGCTGAGGTGCATGCTCTCGCGCACAAGGTCGTGCGTCGCAGCAGTCGTGTGCGTCTTGTAGCAAGCGACTTGGTTGTCCTTGTTATCCACATCCCGGTTCAAGAAACTGAACGGCTGTGGATCAGCGTCGCCGTCCTGTCTCTCCATCCCCGCGAAGTTGATTGTGGAGCCGTCGAGACGGGCAGGGGTCCCGGTTTGAAGGCGACCGAGTGCAAATCCAGCTTTATTGAGAGAAGCAGACAACCCGACAGACGGATCATCGCCTAACCGGCCAGCGGGGAAGGTCTTTTGCCCAATGTGTATCTCGCCGGACAGGAATGTGCCTGTGCATATCACGACCTGCGAGCATTTGATGACCTCGCCAGACTCTGATGTATCCTTAGCATCGCATATGACCAGGATAACCGGGACGCATACCGAGTCGTACACCTTCAACTTGCCCCCATACATTCTGGCTGGTGCTGGGCTGCGTATGGTCGAAGATGAGGTCAAAGACGCTTCCTGCGCGGACGTCGAGGTTCTTGTAGTTCAGTAGCGTTTCCTGCATGTTCTTCCTGTACAGAGTACGATCCATCTGCCCACGGGGGCCCTGAGAACAAGTCAGTAAAGTGCGAGCGTTGCAAGGAGTGGATAGAATATACCCAAACGGCGGGTCCTTTCGACCTGTTCAGCATATGAAACTGTATCCCAGCTTTGTCTACGAGGGAATGTAAGTATGAGTAGACAGAGAAATACTCGAGATGCGCTTACCGGCTACACGCCCCATCACGCCGTCTAGAGCATCCACCTCACGAACTAAGGTTCCCTTCCCGACGCCTCCTATGGACGGATTACACGACATTTCGCCAATGGTATGGACTTTCTGCGTCAAGAGTACGGTTCGTGCGCCTGTTCGCGCTGCACCTGCTGCTGCCTCGCATCCAGCATGTCCTCCGCCGATGACACATACTACCAATAGTTTAAGACAGGCCCGAGTAGTTTATTTGAGACCAGCGCACCATCATACACGTCAGCGGTAGCTTCAGTGGCAAGACCGCGTAGTCGGCTTCGTACAGAGCATTTGGCGAGCGCTGCTCTACGAACGCTATGCAACATTGCGATGAGGGACGCGACGAAGACGCGTCGAGAAATGACCGCGTCTGCCAGGAGTTCGGCATCTCGGTCCGATTTCCCCGAACCTCGCGCGCTCAACCACTTTTGCTCGTTTGCGAGCGACCCTCATTGGTACCAATTGGCTCTGCCTCAGACAGGCTGTGTACTCCAGGAATACTGCTATACTCAGTACTGACGATCATACCCGCTCTGAGAAGTTCACAACCCGGAAAAAGAGGGGATTTTGCGGGTCAGTCAACCGGGCTGAACGATATCTGCACGCACTTCACTCATCCATCAGTAGGATACACGCTCCCAAATGCCAACTTCTATCCATGACCTTCCGGTGGAAACGCTTGCGCGCGTTTTCGTGAGCATGCTCTCCATCGACGTCCCTCCAACCTTCCCGTTGGCGTTGCGCCTCGTTTGCAGGCACTGGCATGAAGTCTCAGAACAGACATCTGGGCTGTGGTCTGGACTGATTGGTCGGTATGGTCGGAGATGGGCGGAGCGTGCGCTTGAGCTCTCAAGGAATAGCTCCCTCGACATCGTGCTAGACGCCCAAGGAACCACGCTAGAACGATGGACGTTAGAATACCTTATTCTCCAACAATTGCATCGCATTCGCACGCTCAAGTTCACCACACACGAGATATCCCACAAGCGTGTCAAGAAAGCTCTGAAGACCTCAGCTACATTACTCGAAGAGCTTGCGATCTCGGGCCAATGGTCTGGGCCACCGACGGACCTCAGTGGCGCTTTCTTCCACCCCACACCCCCTCGACTCTCTCACCTCAGCCTCACACGGGCACGAATGACAGCCGACTTTCCTCCCCTGTCATCTCCTCTAACACATCTGTGTTTGGACTCGTGCAGTGGCTGGCGCTCCATCGACGAGATTTTGACTATGTTATCCAACCTCCCTCGGCTTCGGTCCTTCAAGTGGAAACGCGCCCTATCGGCGACGGTGCCACGACCATCCGCCAAGCCTTACGAACAACATATCGAACTGCCAGATCTCGAAGACCTTGAAATGAGTGACATGTGGACGGTCATCATAGGTGTCTCGTCGCGCATATTGTTCCCTCCGACTTGTGACATCGTGCTGTCTATAGACATCAGCCACTCTATCTACACCATCGGGACGAATTTACTCCGCACCAGTCTGAACATTGGTGTCCTACCGCACCTGAAAGCGGCATTCGACGATCGCGAAAACGGCTTCTCTGATTTGCAGATTTTTGATAGCGTCGAAGAATATGGATTCACCGCTCGCTGGTCAAATCCTCGCCTTTCACACGTAGGACCGGCTAAATTTGAACTATCCCTCTTTGGCAGAGCCGATTTCGAAGCTCGGCAGAGCGACGCGTTATTTCATGTTCTTGAACAGTGGCCTGGAATCGCAGCGCACGTAGCCCGCCTGACTGTACACCACAACAGCTTCTGCGACGACGCCCGAACCTGGAGCGGTCTCTTCAATCGTATCGGAAATATTGATCATCTCACGGCGGGCGGCGCGGCCGTTAAGACGCTCTGTACAGCGCTCTCCGAGGCCGAGGAGCAGCTTCCCCGTCTGACACAACTTACACTGAAAGACGGTCGACTCGCTAAATCGACATATCACCAGTTTATCGGCCTGATGGAGGGCAGGCGCCAGGACGTCAACCAATCGGCATCCCGACCCCCTCGGAAGATTTCGTTCGTCGAGTGCAACATCATGGGAGAGAAAACGTCACGGACGGATGTCATGTTGAGGGGATAGTAGGCGAGGAACGGTCTTCCTATGACGAGGCGCTGCCGGACTATGGCTCTATCAGAACTGACACAGCGTCCGTCACGGTATATCTTGTGAATCGGATTAGTTTATGTTGTCGATGCATGCTGACATACACCGGACTGTATAATGTATACCTGACTTCTTGATACGATGGTTTACAACCGCCAATGATACTGGCTTCGAGCCCTGTATGGTTTTACTTACTGTGGTTGCAATCGTTGGCGACAGGCGCGCGCATTCAAAATTTATCTGTACATACTTGTACATATACGCACATCCAGTAGACCTGACTGCTACGTCGAGTATTCAAACCGCCTGAGATAGACATGTCGTAGGAATAGCTGTGTTGACGAGCTAAAATCGAGCCGCTGGGCCCAACGGAAAAGTTCGGAGTCGCATCAAACGTGGGAATCCGGCAGGCCGGGCCGAGCATACGAAAGGCTTGAACCGCGGCGTCAATTCGCTTTTCGCGTTTGCTTCCACACCTTCATCGCCTTCAGCCGTCGGGCGCTGACAGCAGAGCGCCTCGCAAATCGATAATAGCTCTCTAAGCTACTCTTTCATTCGAATATGTCTATCGGGATAAATCCCACACCATTTACGAGGAGCGTTTCTCGGTGCAAGTCTGAGTTAGTCAAACCTTCCGTCAATACGTCGACAACTTAGCTGACATTCTAGTAGAACGCAGCTTGCCACAGCATCCATAAATGAGACAGTATCTGCCATACGGAATTTTCCTGTGGAGGTGCTCTCCGAAATCTTTGCGCGCACAGTCTCCAGCGATGCCCCGCTCAACTCTGCACTCGTAGTACGCCGCGTGTGCCGTAAGTGGGACAGTGTCGCGTTGGCGACACCTGAGCTATGGATTAATGTCGGCGTTGGACGTTGCTTGGCCACGGCTAAAAATGCCGTCAATCTGTCCAGACGTCGGCCTCTCGATATTGTATTGCGACCCGAAGGATCCGTGCAGGATCGTCTGGCGTTGGAGTCCGTGGTTTTCGGACAGATACATCGCATACGCACCCTTGCATTCACCTCATCCGGCACTGCGAAAATCAGTACGAGGGTCATCAACAACCGTGCCCTGTTACTCGAACAGCTCGTGATCACAGGAGAACAATCTGAACTCCCGATGCAACTCGACGACACCTTCCTCCACTCAGCACCTCCCCGACTTCAAACCCTCAGCCTTTCACGCGCACGCTATGCCGAGAACTTCTCGCCGACCGTGCCGTCGCTCACATGTCTATCTCTAATAAACTGCTGTGGTTGGCGCTCCATCGGAAACATCCTCGACACGTTGGTCAGCCTTCCGCTACTTCAATCCTTTGAATGGGAGCGTGACCTTCATTCCCGGCCGGAGTTGGCCCTTCTTCCTGAGCATGATCAACGGCACATATTCATACCGAATCTTGCGGAGCTCAAGATGGTGGACTCATTGCCTGTTGTCGGAGATATTTCGTCGCACATTTCGTTTCCTCCGGAGTGTGTCGTCAAGCTCGGAGTAGACATCAGGGACTTGCCCGACGGCTATAACGATGATCAGGACTTTCTGCCGTTCTTCGAGGATGCCGTCGTGCCCCATATTGGCGCAGCGTTCCCTCTCAATCGCGGCCTCATACTGCGCATCGAGAATCACCCTGAAGGTCGTGGTTTCATCGTACACTTGGAGTCCCAGCCTGGCGACGGACAGACCGCGCCGGTTTTTTTCGAGCTTGGCATACTCGCGCCCGAGGAGTTCAACGACCTACAATACCTCGTGTTATTGAATCTGCTCGGAAGCTGGCCAGGATTTGGTGACCAGGTCACCCATCTCACCGTGACTCACAACGATTTCGGCAGTTCCGAGGAGGGATGGCAAGTGCTCCTCGTACACCTCACAGAGATCGTGTACCTCAAGATGAGCGACGCGCCCGCTCACACGCTGCTGGATGCATACGATGGGGCGGGGCCTCTACACTCCCACTTGGCTCAGCTCACTTTCGAAAGAGTATACCTCAGTGAGGCTGAGTACGCGGAGTATATCAACATTGTACAGAAGGGTATCCACCGCCCAAGTCAGATCGGCTCCCCCTCTATCTCGCTCATTGACTGCTATCTAATGGGAGAGTACGTGAAATGGGATACAAGGAGTCTATAGGGGAAAATAGGCAAGGTGGAATAGTCGCCGTGAGACTCGACTTGATGTCCGGGACGGCATCTAGCATGTATTTCAGTCGTATTGGGCCCTTGGATGTATTCTATGTAGCTCTACTACGCGAAACTTCATACGCTGTATCTCATCCGCTCATGATCAATGTATTCACTTGTACAATGCTGCCAAAGCGCAAGAGTCCGAGAACGCCGCGCGCGGCGCCGCCAGGTAAGTTGATCAAATGCGGCAACTCGGCCCGAGGTTCGCTTCTCAATTCAGCCACTGGCAACGTTCTCTCGCATCTGCACTTGATTCTTGCCTTCATGAGGCTCGATCGCGCGTTGTCGACTCCCATTCACAATCTCCCCGTGGAGACACTATCTCAAATCTTCGTTTGCTTACTCACTGCAAGGGATGCCTCCACCACGTTCCCTCTTATACTGCGACGGGTATGCAAGCGCTGGCGTGCCGTCGCGGAGCAAACGCCCGATATCTGGACCACACTAGTCACAGGACACGGCATAGAATGGACACGTCGTTCACTGGATTTCTCCAAGAAAACGCCTCTGGATGTTACCTTGCATTCGCAAGGCTCAGCCGTGCAGCGTATTGAATTGGAGACACTCATCCTTTCCCGCTTGTATCACATCCGCACCCTGGTCTTTACTGCCACTGCCGTTCCTTCTGAGGTTGCAAGACTCTTTCAAGCTCCTGCTCCGCTACTTCAGAAGTTGTCCATCAATGGCGAATGGGCCAGACCATCGTTGGATCTCGGCGCGTCATTCGTCCACACCCCTCCACCTCAACTTACGCACCTGAGGTTGGCCTACGCGAGGGTACCATCAACCTGCCCTATATTCCAAGCACCTCTCACGCATCTGCGCTTGATACACTGCCACGTCTGGGACAGTGTCGATAGTTTCATCGACACGTTGACGAGCCTTCCGCAGCTTGAGAGCTTCTCTACGGAACTAGCCCTTGAGGACATGAGTCGCCAGCACGACTCAGACTCCTCCTCTTCCCCTTCCGAAGAGCATTGTGGGGAGCGTCTAGCTATGGCACGGCTGCGAGCCATCAGACTAGAAGAGACTATAGATGACCTTCGTGTCATCATGCCCCGGTTGACGCTCCCCAGAGACTGCGAAGTCTACCTCGCACCTCTGCTCTTTGATGTTGATTTCGACCTGGATGACCTACTCGCCTCCCTCGACACCATCTGCAAACCACATCTTGCTGCATCATTCCAGGCCGGTGATAACATGGACCTGACGCCTCGCGGGTTCAATAGGATGGAGATCTTGGAGCATGAGAAGGAGTACCGCGGTTGTAATCCTTTTACTGTGACGTGGACGACAACGCTCAATGATACCGGTCACGACGACATGCGATTCAGGCTCGCTGTCATTATCGAGCATGATGATCTTTTGTCCGAAATAGTCCGACACGCCCTCGAACACTGGCCAGGCACCTCCACTTGCATCTCGCATCTTTACCTCAGCCACGACAGTATCTTCAGCGAGCCAGGGTCGTTGACCAACGCTCTCGAACACCTTGGCGCTGTGACCGATCTTGATGCGGAAGGATGTGCTGCAAGGCAGCTTCTAGAAACGTTGTATGAGAGCGAAGGTCTTATCCCCGGACTAGAGAGCCTCACGCTTCGGAATCTCAGGCTAACCGACTCCGCCTACCAGGCTTGCATCAGTGAGATGGAGGCAAGGCGGGTGGAGATACGCGATCCAGAAATGCGCATCCCGCGCAAGCTCACACTCGTGAACTGTACTGTCATGGGGAAAGCGCTGACACGGATGGACGTCGTCTTGAGTGAGGATGCGTCGGGAGAAGATGAGGAGGAGGGCAGTTCGGAAGAGGATTGGTAGTAGCCAAATGCGTTCTGAATAGTCATGTAGTTGGGAGTCAATCGAGATGCTTCATTGATACTACATGCAACATGCATTCTATGGATAGAGCGTACAGGATAAAGCGAACATTGGCAACGATAGTAGCGTAGTACAAACAAGCAAGACAGCATTCCATGCAATAAACATTCGACTAGTCCGATAGTTCAAGAGAGCGTTGATTCAATCGAGCCGCACAGCCCCTCGGCGTAGGTGGGCAGAGTGATCAGTGTTCGATCGGGACGCCCCAGCCCTGCATCGTGAAGAAAATCCAACGGAGGCGGTCGGGACGGAAGACGTGGAAGGTCAAGAACCAGATACCTGTATCAAACGTCAGTCCGATGCTGAGATGAGCAGATGAAGAACAACGTACAGAGCTCCATGTATGTGAAGAAGCCAAGGGCACCGCCCTTCGCGCCACGCTTAACGAAGCGCACGACATCGACCCAAAGCTTCATGTCGCGAACGTCGGGACGCGCGCCTGCGTCGAGGAGGAAGAGCAGGAGAATACGCGTGTAGATGCCGATATGGCTGCAGTCGTTGTGAGTGTCTGAGAAGCGCATAGAGACAGAGCGACGTACATATGTCCAACGGTGCCGATGGCATTCACGTATGATGAGTTGGTGCAAAGCACGCTCCAGTCCTCCGTCGCGAAGTTCTGCAGGTACAGGTCCGGGCGAGCGTAGCCATCAGGGAACACGTCATCAGGGAGGAAGTCGAGAGTAGGCCGCTCGAATCCAGTGGCGAGCACAACGATGTCGCCCTCGATCGTCTCTGACTTCGCGTCCTCGGCGCCTACGGGTTGGTCGCGAGTGCGGGTCTTCACGCGCACGCCGTTCTCGACCAAGCGCTCAGTATCGCCACGGATATACTGTACCTTGCCGGCGCGAATGTGGTCGAGGAATGCGTTGTTGACGACAGGTGTGCCCTCGTAGATACCAAGGCCCTTGGGCGAGAGATCCTTGAGGTCGCGGTAGTGGAACGTGCGGATGAACCATTCCCAAACGAAGCTGAGAGGCATTTCCTGGCCGAAAGGCTGAGCGGAGATGATTGTGTCAATGAATGTGTTGCGAGGGATGATCCACTGTAAAGGCATCAGCACGTAGCTTGTAACGAAGTCCGCAACAACTGACCTTGTCCTGGCGAGCAATCACGATGGCCTTCTTTGCGCCCTGTTGAAGCGCCGTCTCGGCCGCTTCGACACCAGACGCTCCGCTGCCGATGATGAGGACCGTCCGTCCCTCAAGCTCTGCATCGTCTAGCTCGGACGAGTGGAGCACGTCTCCTTGGAACTTCTCCTCGCCGTCTTGGTCTAAGAACGGGCGATGAGCATATGACAGAACAACAGACAAGATATTGACGTACGGTCATGATCGCCAGGTTCAGATCCCTGTTCCTTGACGGTGCCCGAATCTTCTGCGTCTTCCCAAAGCCCAGATTCGCTGACCTCGTCGGCGTCCTTCGTACCCTCGGGCTCAGAGTTGATGGCGGCCGAGTCCTCCGCTGGAGGCTGAGTGGCGACTTCAGCAAACGATGGGGCGCCGGACATTTGCGGGTTCTAGAATAGTATGGTCAGTGATTTAAGTCAGCCCACAATCAAGCCTCCTCACAGCGGGTGAATCGGGGTTGAGCGCGGGGTATGCAATTTCATCCATGTCGCGGTAGGCACCGCGCTTGTTGGAACGCGCCTCTTGCTCTTTGCGCCTCTTGTCCTCCTCCTTCTTTTTCTTCTCAGCGACCTTCTGCGCATCGTCTGATTGACGTATACGGTTCACGGGTTTCCGATCGGCATGGTAGTCGGTTGGTCGATGGCTGCGGGAATCACGGTCCCCCTTGCCCTTTTTGCCCTCCTTCTCATCCTCCCAGTGCGTATGTGGCATACCAGGAAATCCTGCCATTTTCGGCTTGCCGCAGGTACCGACGGTGACGATGATGGCGTCGAATTCACCGTCGGCGCCGTCGTTGATGACCCACTTAGCGCCAGGGGACGAAGTGCCATTAGCACGACGGGCAGACTTGACACGAGTCTGTGAAAGCGTCAGATGGTGTCGCTGCCAAGTAGACAGACGAACTCACGTTGAACCTAGTCCGAGACTCGAGCTTGTACTCCTTCCAGATACGAGTGACCTCTGAGCTGGTGTCAGACATACGCAAAACATGACGGGTCACAGTTCAAGACTGACCGGATACAATCTCATCGCGAGCCGGATAGGTATGCTTCCAGAGTACGGCCGGATGGAAGCGGTAGATCAAAGAGTTCAACTGAAGAGAAGACGTGCTGTTGACGTCGGCCCAGATACCTCCGACGCTATCCTTTGCTGGCGTATGTTCAGCGCTTGTACACAAATACACAGCCTTGGCACAGCTTACACTCGTATATCACGACCTCGAAGCCGTGGGCAATGGCGTGCGCAGCAGACGAGACACCGGTCAGACCAGCACCGACGACGGCAATGCGCCCGCGCGGCTTTGGCAAAGGCCCATCCTTCTTGGGTGGACTCTACAACGGGCGTAAGCCATGTGAGGCTATATGGCATGCTCCCTCGGACTTACCGGCTTGAAGAACGTGTGGACAACGAGTTGCTGGATGAGGACATATGACACGAGGAAGATGGTGGCTTGGAATGCGCGGAAGGGGCTGATCGCGGTGAAAACGTGACCGTGTTTGAATAGATCAACGGACGTCGTCGCGTAGCTCTTGACCACCTCAAAGGCGGCAGACATGGTCAAGAGGGGTGGTGGGAGGTTAAAGCAGAGATGCAGTTAGTGGCGGTGATGTCCGTCCTCTGCTTTTTGTAGAACAACTTAGGCGCCACACGCGCGTGTGCACAGCGTTCGATCGACGTCATGAATTTCGACTTCAACCGCGGACGACGCGCCTGCTTTCATGTGAATACGCGAATCATCAACCTCTTCGCTCATACGCGTCTTCATGATCTTGGACTTGCACCACCACCGCGCTTCGTCATGGAGAATCCAAAGAAAGAGATAGAGGAGGTCTTCTCCAAGCTCACTATGGCTCCGTCAGCCACGATACAGTCCAGCGCCCTCGCGCGCTACTACACTTCAGATGCAGGGTTCAGGCATCCATTATGTCGCATACCGTGCGCACCAGGCTCGCGAGACCAGCTTCTAGGTGTATACCAGTGCGCATCAGACTCGGCTCGGGAGGGGACACTGTGCTGAGCGCAATGCAGGTGGTATCGCATCATGTCACCTACAATCCAGGGTGATGTCCAAGAAGTTGGTCAGTATTGTCTGTTCGAGTCATGTGCCAGGCGTACTGAGAAGCTCTCAGTATATGACGATGAGAAGGCTGTCTTGTATCTTGAGGTGGTCCAGAAGTTCCACATCTGGTACAACCCTCTACCTGTCCATCCCGCACGGTGAGTTCCAGTCACCTACTGCATAGGAATGCACTTCTCATGATGCTTACAAGGTTGATCGTCCGCCTTTCTTTGCGGAAAGAGAACGACCTGTGGTACGTGAGTGAGCAGGAAGACTTCTACCATCCGGATGTGCGCCAGTTGTGCTTCTTATGCTTGTGCTGTGGTATTGATGTACATCTCGTCGCAGGAACTGGCCGCTCTCGTCATTCCTCCACTCATAACGCCTATTCGCATGGCTCTCCGTATAGGCGCCATCAGCTCAAATATCCTGGCGAAGACATCTCAGATCGTCTTTGGCTGGTGGACATGAGTTCTTCGAGTCCTTGGGCTTCAACCCAAGGACTATACACATATCGTTGACGGACTTTGTACATAGACTTACTCCCTGTAATGTATCTTGATAGTGATGATCATACTTGCAACATACAAGTAGCAAAGATAGATCATGCATTCATATGCTTTTTGTACAGTATATCGTACAATCGTTCACTAATTCTCCTGTTCCTTCTCGATGCTCGCCACGAACTCGCATCTCTTTGTCTCTCCGCTATCCTGCTTCTCCAGCGTAACTCCGCTCACTGTGGTCGAGTTGGCATCTGCCCCAGTCGGTCTCTGTAGCGCAATCCTGTTCAGAGTTTTTGCCGAGTACTGTGGCCATGCCGGAGAGCGCTCTAGCTTGAATATGCTCGGGTCGTGTGCGCGCACGAAAGAAAGCCAATATGCGATCAATTCTTCGGCGAATGCTTCTTCCGAGGGTGTCATGTCCGTGAACGTCGTAGTGCCGTTGAACCCTGTATTTGTTCCGCGGAACATCCACCAGTTCTAGTATTACAAGTTAGCAGCGGTGCATGCATACTAGGACGGTTCATACCTCTGCGGAATGGAAAACTAGGTCGCTTGTGGCTGTGTCCGGGTTCGCAGGCTGGTTGAAACGGTATGTGAAAGTCGGAAGTCCTGCGCCGGACCATGCGTGGCCCATGATAGAGCGCTGGCAGTTCATATCAGCCACGTGAACCAGTATTAGGGGTTGATACAGAACGCACAGCGCAACGAAGCTCGGATTCACCCGTCGCATACGTGTTGCGAGTGACCTCGTCACCGAAGTCAGAGACGGGATAGACTTCCGCGTATTCAGCGAGGGTCTTGTTGGTGAGTGCCGGGAAGAACTCTTTCAACGGTGCGTCGAGAGTGGAGGTGTCAGAAAGCGATTCGTTGGTTGTGGAACTGTGGATGGCGAGTAAGTACGGAGTCCGACGTTCTACCCGGATGACGTACCCGACCAGCAACGGCACCTTATGGAACTTGCCCTCCAGGATGGACTTCGTCGGGTTCTGTGTGATCACCTTGCCATCGATGACGGGCGTGAAGATGTTATACGGCCTAGTCGCATATGTAAGCACAAGCACAAGGCCGACGGCAGGAGAGATGACCCGTACACAGTCACATTGAAGTCAGAAACTGCATCCTGCGCCCTCGCCAAAGCGCTGACCGAAGCCTTGCGCAGGCACGCCATAGTCTTCTTGAGAGTGTTCCCCTTGCATCCAGCCTCAGTGACAAACTGCTCGAACTGCGGCTATACTATGTTCAGTACCACAAGCCGTCCTTGTGAGAAGTTACATGGCGGACCTCACGCTCTTCGGCCGGTCCTACAGGCGTGCGGTATACGCTCTGTGGAATAGCAGCCTGGAACAGCTCTTCGCCCAGGTTCGTGACGAGTTGCAGCTCAACACTACTCCCACCGGCGCTCTGACCGTCAATAGTGACCTTGCCGGGGTTTCCGCCAAATGCCGCAATGTGCTTCTTCACCCATCGAAGAGCTTCGACCTGATCGAGGAACCCCGGATTGAGGTCCCCGAGCGACGAGTCGGAACGGAAGGCCGGGTGGGCGAGGAAGCCGAAGGAGTCGAGACGGTAGTAGACCGAAACGATGACGACGTTGGGGGATTGGTGAATCCAGTGCTCAAAGGGCCAGTCCGCGGGGTTCCCGTAGACGTAGCCTGTGCGCGAGTACGATAGTCAGTGGGATGCGGCCGCCGCGTGGATGCACCTAGAACTCGCCTCCGCCGTGGATATAGACCAGAACAGGCACTACAGTGCTTACATGTTAGAATGGAAGGTAGACGTCATGAAAGGGCGAAAGCTCACAGTTGCTCTCCTTGGTTGCATTCAGCGGTGCATACACGTTTACCCTCAAGCAGTCTTCAGATCCCGCACCGCCCTCATCTCCGCCTGCGCGACATTAGTATGCGTATCAATGGCTATACTTCATTAGTGCGTACCGCCGGTGCTGCCTTGTATACATGGCTCGGGGTATTCGGACGCGTCGACGACAGCGGATGAAGTCTTCTTCGTGTTCAATGGCACAGGCGCACGAAAGCGGCGCTCGCCTGTCGGGCTTTGAGCGTAGGGTACACCCAAATACGCCGCAGTGTCATTGTAAGTCACAGCCCCGCGGTAGCGCGCATAGCCAACATCCACGACTGGACCAGTAGCGGCTTCGATAACAGGTGAACACTGCGCAAGCACAGCGCACGCTGCAAGGCTCGCCAGCTTCTTGAGGCTCAAGTTCGCCCACATCTCGGGATCCGTAGCGTAGCGAGAGGCCGCGAAGACTGCCGAGGTCATCGTCTGCAGGTTTATACCCTCGAGCGCTGGCCACGGGAACATGATCGGCATCGCTGACGATGTTGCGGGGTCGTCAGGTGTCTGGTCCTATATCTTCGACATAGCTCGTCAGTGTATCCGTCCGCGCCGGGGAGGGTGATTCTGAAGCACGCGCGCACGAATGTGCGCATGACACCCGGAGATATTCCTGAGCACGCGATGATGAACCCTAGGATTGTCGAGTGTCATCAGAAACTCATATGTGCGACCTGCGCGAGCGATCTAGGTTTGAGCCGTATAGACTAGTACCGCTCAGGCTATAGGCACGGCGCCTACATCAATCGTAATGCGAAAGTGAAGTCGCGAGGAGGTGACGCGTAGGCGTCTAACTGAGAAGTAAGAACGGTCGAGACGCGAGTAAGCGTAGTAGACGCGTCATGGGATAAGACTTTCGTTCCTGCGCGGTCCAGGGCAATAGGTAACTGCCATTCCCATTACGCATACGAAGACGTAGCCATGCGAGTCGCGTGCAGAGAACTCACAGGCGATGCTAGAGCGATGACTGTAGGAAGGAAGGGAAGCTCGGCCAAGCCGAGGGGCAGACAGGGCCGCGGGATAAACCGGGGTAAACAACGCGATCACGAGGCTCACAAGGCCGACGCGTCGTACGTCAATCGTACGTCCTTTCTTCCACGTATCTCTCTCAAGGTACTCGTGTCGCATGTAGGAGATGATCAATAGTGTCAATTGGAGAATGTACAATCGAAGAGAAGACAACAAGCAAAGCAATTATCGACAGCGTTGAAACACAGGTTGCGGGAAAACGGATAATGACGTGATGAGATTCAGGCTGGGAATCATGATGGATAGCGGTGTTATGATAGGTATAGAGATACGAGAAAAGCGGAATGTCTTGCGAAGTTCAGAAATGTCATGGGGAGTCGGGTTCAGGCCGCCAGGGCGTGATGTCCTGAAAGTTGTACACGCGCGCGAGTCCGCCCTTGGCTTTGGCGTACTCGTACCCTCCGTCACCATCGCCGCCGTAGCGACCGGAAGCGAGCGTCATTGCCTGGCGCTCGGCCAGTTTGACCGCCCAGAGTGGGTCTACACCCTGGATGCGCTTCTCGTGCATGATCTTATGCAACTCGACGGGCGCTGTCGTGATGAGAATGGGCTGTGCGATCGCGTCAGCGCCGTCTTGACGTGTACACCCTGAATGATGCACATACCCGCATGTTCTGCCAGGTCAGACCCGCTGCGTCGTCGCGTGTACGACAGTAGTCCTCCCACGCGCCGAGTATCGCGTAGCCGACAGCAACAGCCACGTCTGCAAGGCGGAAATCAGTTGACTGCGCTCAATCCCATTGCACAATGAGCAGCGTACCTTGCATAGACATGCTGCGTCCAACTGGTCCAGGAGCATAGTATAGGGCGGCGTACTTCTTTGCCGCGGTCGCTTCGTCGCAAGGCTTGAACCACACCATCGTGTATGGGTGAGGATCAGCGAGCTATCGGCAGCGGGTGACGGGTGACTACAGGTGCAGGTGTGCCGACGCGAGAGCTAGCGAGTTTAAGTAGAGAGCTGGAGCGAGCAGCACGAGGTACAGAGGCACTGAAAGTGTCAATATAAGCTTATTTCCGGCAGCGGAACTATATAGAACCTGCATAGGGACGGCCGCCGAGCACGGAGTGACATCATGTCACCCTCTCTGGCGGGCGGCTGATGCACTGATGCACCTCGGTCTGGACGCAATCCTTGTTCGGCCAGGGCATGGACAGCTGTTGACACGCTGCTCGGGTGTTCCGTCGGTCGTGCGCTCTTGTGCGAGAGGGCTGTGAGCTTGCGAACGGGATTGGTGGGCGATGGAAGGTACTCTAACTTCCATTGGCCTTCCGAAGCATGAAGGGGATAAACGCGGAGACAGTCGCAATGACGTATGTTGAGTTCGGACACCGAAGAACTTCGGGCCGCTCGAGACGGTAGACAATGGCCGGGCGTCTCTTTCCTCCACTGTCATGCAGACAGAGTGACGAGTACGTACCAGCTGCTGCGTGTCAATGAACGTGGGCATGTGGGAGCCACCCGAGCTTAAGATTCGTAAAGTGTCTTGCCGTTAGGTGTCAGCCGAGCATGATTACTCGAAGATACAGAGGCGTCGCTATCGTCCACCCGGGCATTTTAGGGTCGTCAAAACTTCGCATCCGAGTGTAGGTCCCGACCTCATCTTGTCAAAGTGGACAACGGAGACAGATGGAGACACGCGGGCAGGAGAGCAACGATCAGGGTAAGGTAAGGGTCGATAATTATCGGGGGGAGCGGAGGCAGGTGAGGTTAGCGGAAGATGATCTCGGTCGCACAAAGTGGCGTGCGTCTCGATGCGCCGTATCCGGGGCTCAGCTTCATATTGGTCCGTGTCATCACCTGTACGAACCGTAGGATAAGTGAGCTGTTTCAGAGGTCTAGACTATGGTCACATTGTATCGGTAAACAAGCGTTGCAGTGCGAATACGACCGAAAGGGAATGTCCTTGCGACAATAAAAGTTGATGCTCCACTTGCATCTCCCACTGGTACAGAGGTATAAGCAAGATAGTATGGGAGACAGAGTTGGTCTAACTTACTTCTTCCTGGCGTGGACCACTAGCCCGCGCTACCTCTGGTCAGATCCCCATCAAGTTGCTCCTGACAAACGAGGCCGGAAGGTAGTCTCTCCACCTATCAACCAGTCCAACAGCACGCACAAACACGACCTAAGTGCGAGGTGTGGTCAAGGCTGTCGTGTAGGACTGACGCAAGGCTGAGTCTCTGAATCAGCGGAGGTGCGGGCTTGTGTCGACGCTTCTGTGTAGGTCAAAGTGAGCCAAGCAGTGGGCTTCATCCTTTGACGACCACTCGACAAAAGGTAAGACTACGCTGATAGTCCATTGCTCGCGGATGCCAACTACGTGGCTTCCTCATGCATCGGCAGCATTGCCATTTCCTCGAGAACCTCTCAGCGCATCCTCACGCGAGTCTATGCGACCCTGGTCAGCATGTTCTCCGGTACCGCAGGCTGTAGCGCCCGTCATCATCGCCTCGTGATGCCTTCTGTTGATTACACCTCGCAGCTTCGCTGAGGCCGTTGTCGATGTACTTGTGGGATGAGTCCTGCACATACGTCAACGAGCGTCTCGTCCCCGGGACTTCTAGAAGGGAAGACGACCTGTGGCGCAGAACGCTCATTCGCGCGTGCACCGAGCACTCTGCTGACGCAGCTGGTAAACCTGCAGCAATTGCGGTATGAGACGTGTTGACTTGGCGGTCTGGTGGGACCGCTGCTGCGTCCTTGACTGACTATCCTGTGACTTATGACAGGGCTAGGCATAGCGATCCGTCGCGAGTACACAGCCTGAAAGCGCGGATTTAGCGCGACTATCGATCGCGCGCGCGAGGACAAGGGTATTCCCAGGAAAGTACAGGATTGCATTGACAATATAGGAAACCGGTTGTACAGTAGTGAAAGCAAGTCAGACACAGCACAAGCCAAGACAGAAGAGGTGCAAGGGCGCGCACAGGGACGCGGACATGAGGTGTGAGGGCCAGGTGAGACGCAACTTCGTTGCGATTATGCGAGGCTACCGCCGAGCTGATGAGATGGTCAGAACACTGTGATCACGAAGGAGGTTTGAGAAGAAGCAAGAGCATAAATGATGAGATGGTTCGAACAAGTATGATGGGCCTGACAGGGTATGTATCTAGAGGTGGAGACCTCCGTCGCTCAACGCCACCGGACCAGCAGCAGAAGCGGCCCCGGCGTATGACCACCAGGATGGAGAGAGAAGGAAGCAATAGAATCGCAGGCGTATGTACACACCTGCTCGATGTGTGCGTCGATCTGGTCTCCGTCCTCCATGTTGAGCATTGCTGGCGTTTCGTCGGGTCGTACGCGCGCACCCTCGTACATAAATCTTAATGTGCCTGCATAACCTTCGTCAATATCATTCCGCTAGTGAACGAATGAAGGCGGCGTACCCTTGTCTTTCCCAAATCGCTCCTACGTCAAGGTCGTGTGAGTATACGAGAAACATCGAAGGGGTAGAACACGCACGGCTGCAACGTCGAAGATCTTCTGGAAGGCCATGTTCGCTTTCACCTTGACGGTGATCGCTGAAAGGGTCAATTAGTATCAAGTACATAAAACAACGGACAATCCGTAACAAAGCATTTCGACGAGCATTCGATGTTACGCGAAGCCTTTGCCTGCATCTCAAGCGCTCGCGCGTCGCAACCACCTCTCCTTCCATTTGCGGAAAAAAGGGATGAAACTCACGTGTCCCCTCATACACGATACTAATGTTAAGCTTGGGCTTCTGGTCGACCTGCTCTTCAGCCATAGTGAACCCGAAAAGAAGACGAAGGTGGTGATGGTGGTGGTGTGGCGAAAGGACAGCAGTACGCGGTTTCACTGATCGACACCCGTCGCGTCGCGTCACGCGGTGACGGTCCCGTTTATTACGGCGTTGATTGGCGCCCGTCCCCAGGCTTCGACGCGTACCACGGCGCTTAATTGTACGCGACCATCATGACCACCAACGTGCTTCACGAAGCTTGAATCGAATAGGGGCTCTCAAAGCATCATGTTCGCAGCTTGGACGCCGACTTCCATGACGAGCGCTAGCGATATAGCCGCGCGTCGGCATGCACGCGCGCTTGCTGGCTGGCTGGGCTATGCGTTCGCCAGCGAAGTCTTCGTGATCGTCTCGTTGACTCTGTACCTCCCAATATGCCTCGAGCAGTTTGCACGAGACAATGGATATCTACTACCTGAACGGACTGTACCATGTATCGACGCTCCACCCGACAGTACTGCTCGTTGTGTCGTGAAGCTCGGTTGGGCATGGCTCGACACGGCGTCATTCAGGCATGTATACCATTCGAATGACCAGTATTGCAACATTGCTAATGAGTGATCTGCTTATAGTCTTTACGTCTCTTCACTATCCGTGGCCCTCCAAGCCTTGACAGTAATCTCTATTGGCGCCTTAGCCGATACCTCCCGCCGCAAGCTGCTTTTACTATTCTTCGCGGCCCTCGGCTCCCTCTCCGCACTCTGCTTCTTCTTCCTCCCGTCTACCTCGCTCTTCTGGTGGCTCGCCGCGCCTCTCGCGATATTCGCCAACGTCGGCTTCGGCGCCAGCTTCGTTGCACTCAATGCATACCTACCGCAACTGGCGAGGAGTGCACCGGACGTGCGGATCGCAAGGGTGGCGTTGGCACAGGCGCATCACGACGTTGTCAACGTTGCCGATTCTGAACGGCCAACAGCCTTCGCTGTACAAGATAATTCGCTGGACGAGGAAGATGCTTCCGCCCCTCTCTTGCAATCAGACGACTCCTCCCGTCTACCGTCGGAAACACTGGCACTTGCACGCCAGGACTATACCATGGCCCTTTCTCGAGCGACGGCACGCATCTCCGCGCAAGGCATCGCGTTAGGATACTCGGCCGGCATCATCCTTCTACTGCTTACCATCGTTCCTGTATCAAGACTCGGTGGGAGCACATGGGCACTGAGATTGGCCATCGGATGCAGTGGTGCATGGTGGGCACTGTTCAGCATCGGAGCGGGATGGGCGCTCCCGAGTGGCGCCGAGGAAACCGATGACGAGGACGGGGAAGAGCAGGAAGCTACGGGTGGGAATGTGAGAGCGAGAGTTGAGGGTGCTGAAGGGTTGGGGCTGGGCGATGATGAGGTGGACGCAGGAAAGGAGAGAGACTGGACGGTGTGGGGAGAGATCGTACTTGCTTGGCGCAGGCTCTTCCGCATGCTGCGCCCAAGCGAGATACGCAGGCTTGCCAATACGTTCATCTTTCTCGCCGCGTGGTTCCTGCTCTCGGATGGTAAGCTTGAAACCGGTGCGCACTCGGTATCATGCTGACAGCTGTTTCGGTAGGATTCACTACCATCACGTCGACAGCGGTGCTGTTCGCGAAGACAACCCTCAAGCTTCCTCCGAGCACACTCATCCTCGTCGGCGTCCTCACGCCCTCAGCCGGCATAATAGGCGCCCTCGCCTGGCCCATGCTCCAACGCCGCCTCCGCCTCTCCAACCTCTCAACACTCCTCGTCCTCGTCTCCCTAGCAATGCTCGTCCCCGCGTACGGCTGCCTCGGTCTCTCCCCCACCATCCGCAAACACGGACTGGGATTGGTAACGAACTGGGAGATGCTGGTACTCGCGGTCTACTTCGGGAGCGTGTATGGCGCGTTCCAGAGTTATGCGCGGGCGCTGTATGCGGAGGTCATTCCGAGGTCGCAGGCGGCGAGGTGGTACGCGCTGTTCAGTATCACGGATAAGAGCAGCTCTTTCCTTGGGCCGCTTGCTGTGGGTCTCATTGCGGATGGAACGGGCAACATCCGGTGCGCTTCATTGCATCTTGCATCTGCGGGGAGGCTTGTGACTGACACGCGCACGCAGATACGCATTTCTCCTTCTAACCGGCGTGCTGCTCTTAGCGCTGCCTATCCTCTCGCGTGTAGATGTTGCGAAAGGTGCAGAGGATGCGGAGAAGTATGCCGTGCGGGAGGGCGGGGAGCGAAGGAGGGCGCAAGCATGAGCGTCCCTGACGGTGGCCGTCGTTGTGGCTTCTGGACAGAATCTGGCTAATACCAATAGTTATTATTGCACGTTTCATGTCTGCTGGGATGTATGATAAGGATGCTGCCTGCGTGACGCACATTTTTATGGAGACGTTCTGTGCAGTATCAAACTATTCCATACGCTCAAAGGTCTGCATCTGGGGAAAAGGTGGGCGCGACAGTTCGGGCGCCACAATAAATGGCGGAATTGGCGCCCACATCGGCCGATCGGCCCGGAGTTGTGAGCACGCGCTGTGGCCCGGTTAGCGCTGGAAATCAAGCTTGAGTCGTGCGCCCACCACGCCGCGCCGTCACCGTCTGCGAAAGGTCACTAAGAATACGGAGAAGGGGCCACAAAGAGAGCAGGGCTACGCGTATATAATAGCTTGAGCGAAAGAGGGTGCCGGAACCAATAAAATGGCGACCATAAACCCAGACGAGCTGAAGAAGCTCGTGAAGGCTTTGCAGGGCGCGTCGAACGACCAGGTGCGTGGCGTGCCACAATTTCCCTAGACAAGCCCGTTGACTTTGATCTTTCATCTTATCTGCAGGAAACTATTGATGTTCTGACGACTCTCAAGAAGGAGGCTCGGGTCACTGAGGCCCTACTTCGCGTGCGTATTACTGCATACCACTATACATATCTTCGCTTACACGACTGGGTATATAGGAAAGTAAGGCTGGCTTAGCAGTCGGAAAGCTACGTAGCAATCCCAATGGGGCCATCGCCAGCCTGGCGAAGGAGATTGTCAAGCAGTGGAAGGACGCGGTGGCGAAAGACAAGCAGAAGGGTGCTCCCAGCGCGCCTAAACCAGGTACGTACATTTCCTCTGACATGACTCAACTCTTCGCGTCTATAATACTTTTCTAACCATGGCCCCCTCATCCCGCAGTCGCGAAATCCTCCACGCCTACTTCAGTGGCCTCACCAACAACACCGACGATAGCGTCGAAGGCCCTCGGGACGGGTGTACGCAACTCGAAGACGGACGGCATCAAGGCTCAAACATCCGACAACGTGCGCTCACGCTGTATTGAGCTAGTATATGATGGTCTCGCGTTCCAGTCGGGTTATCGTGCGTACTATTCGGCTTAGGACTTTGCCGCGCGCTTACCGATTCCTGCTTTAGCAAGCGATCTCCTCCTGAAACGTGCCGAGGCCGTAGAACAAGCCGTCCTGGATGATTGCAAAGGCGCCACACCAGCTTATAAGAACAAGATCCGCAGTCTCTTCCAGAACTTGAAGGACAAGAACAACGGCTGGTTACGCGACGGCGTCGGTTCTGGCGATATTCCTGCCGCCAAATTCGCGCGTATGACTACAGCTGAGATGGCCAGCGCGGAGCGCAAAGCCGAGGACGCGAAGATTGCGGAGGAGAACATGTTCCAGACTATGGCGGCGGGAGAGATGCAGGCGGAAACGGATGCGTTCCAGTGCGGTCGCTGCAAACAGCGCAAGTGCAGGTATCGCCAGGCGCAGACGAGGAGCGCCGACGAGCCTATGACTGTGCGTACTTTCCTTCTCATCTACTGAACTCGCGCTGACTGGACTGTGTTATAGACCTTCGTGACGTGCGTCTCGGAACTCGCAAACGAGCGTGGACACAATGCTGACGATGACTCGTACACACAGGTGCACCAACTGCAACCACCGCTGGAAGTTCTCATGAGCTCCACGTTCTCGTTCGTTTCGCCTTGCTACTTTACTGACTCGACACCCTTGCTCTTCTCTCTTGTACTAGTTTTGACTCTCGAGATTATCTCTCAATGCGACACCGCTTTCATCCCTGCCCTAGATCTTGGGTCTAATACGCATGCATGACCCCGTGCGACGAAGGCAGTACGAAGGAGTGATCTAATAGCAGGACACGGTGAATGGAATACTCATTCTGACTAGGTGTATATCATGACACTCATCTGTGCCCTCGCGCATCCGAGGGTGATGGATGCACAGCCTTGCGATACTATATAGGCCATAGGTTTCTTCGATCGCTCCCATCATATACGCTACCACCGCGATGTCCACGACTTCCGGCGATATTGACACTGCCCGCGAGACGAACGTCACCGCAAACAAAGAAGCCAACTCAAACCCCGAAGAGCCAAGCACGGCTGCAACAGTCAGCGCGGAGCAGAAGGCGGAAGAGGCGAAAATCGCGGATGACAACCTATTTCAACCTCTGGGGGAGCAGCAGGAGACGGACGCCTTCCAGTGTGGACGGTGCAAACTGTGGAGATGCAAATACAGGACGGAACAGACGAGGAGTGCAGTCGAGCTGATGACGGCAAGTTACACTGTGAGCCGACTGCCCTTCCTGGAGGTGCACTGTTGCTGATGTTGCCTTTCACTACAGACATTTGTGACGTGCGTTTCCGTGTTGAAGTGTCTGCAAGCGCAATCTCATAACTAACTGACTTCACGTATTCAGATGCATGAACTGCAACCATCGCTGGATGTTCCGATGAAGAGGGGGCCCCGTTGTGCATCCCAGTTGCCCGAGAAGTACCTCTTGAGACTATGTATACGAACCAGTATAGAGGATCGAACCGGTCACACCGGCACCCATAGTACTGTGTCGCGCTTGTGCCATTGGAATTAGTTACCAATCGAGCATGTCGTCGATTGAAGCACGAGAGCGTGGACGCGTTTGACGTGCTCTATGGCGTTAGCTCCGTCGGGTCAGTCCAATGCGACGGTCGTCTTACTCATATGGGTGCCACAGCATAATATGCCGTTCCCTACACCGTGTAGAAAGTACACTGGAGACATGGGATTCGAGTCGTGTACCCGCACAGTGGAAAGGTCTCAAGGGAATCGCAGTCGGCCGACGAGCGAGAGGCCGATGCGATAAGAGGAGGGGCAGAAGACGCGCCTGCAACCGCGAACACGTTCCTTCGATCTGCTTTATCATGTCGGCGCTGAGAAAGAGGCACCCTTTATAAGTACCCTCCGGGTTCCGCGCGCGCGGGCCTGTCCTCAACGCCCATCACGATGACCGAAGCTACAGGAGAACAGGTGGACGAGCGTGCGCCGCTACTCGGCACGAAGACGGCGACTGGCGACGTCGAGGCCGCCGTTGTACGCGACTCTGACGGCGCACCGACAGAGGAGCCACAAGTTGGCGAGGAGCCGACAAAGAAGACTGGGGCGTGGACTATTGCCTGGTATATCCTCCTTACGGTTGTGATTGTCGTTGGAGTCGCCTTCTTCGTCAAGGCGTTCATTGACGCAGATGATGTTGACGTGCGTCGAATTTACGTTCATTTTGGCTCCGAGTTTCTAATCTGAGGCGTGCCATTACCATAGTTCGACCTGAAGAAGGCACTGTACAAGGCACTTGGCGGCGGTCTCTCGGGTGCAGCTGCTATGGTCCTGCAGGTGCTGACGTTGATGGTGCGTATATCTCCCAGTACAATATTTTGGCCCACCTCTGACCCAACGCTCTTTATAGCCTCTGCGCACGATCATGAACTACCAGTACCGCTACGGCACGACTACTATGCAAGCCGCACGCACACTACACACCGAAGGCGGTTTCTCGCGATACTACGATGGACTCCTGGCCGCACTGTTCCAGGGCCCATTATCCCGTTTCGGTGATACTGCCGCCAACGCGGGCATCCTCGCTTTGTTGGAGAGCAATGGCTTCATGAAGAACCTTCCCTCGTTCATCAAGACCGTATTCGCCTCGGTCGCCGCTGCACTTTTCCGGATGACCCTCACGCCAATTGATACCGTGAAGACCACTCTACAGACGCAGGGCAAGAAGGGCTGGGGTATCCTTGGCCGCCGTATCCGCACCTACGGTATCTGGACCTTGTGGTACGGTGCATGGGCAACGGCCGCTGCCACATTCGTCGGCCACTACCCGTGGTTCGGAACATACAACTTCCTGAGTGTGAACCTGCCGCCTCCGCACACGATCGTGCAGAAGCTCGCACGACAGGCCTTCATCGGTTTTGCGGCCAGCGTCGTCAGCGACACCATCAGCAACTCTCTCCGCGTCGTGAAGACGTACCGCCAGGTCAACGAGACGCGCATTGGATACTTCGACGCAGCGCGCGCAGTCGTCGCGTCAGACGGTCTCAAGGGGCTGTTCGGCCGTGGCCTCAAGACGCGTATCATCGCGAATGGTGCGCAGGGATTGATGTTCTCGATCCTCTGGAAGTTGTTCATGGACCTGTATGTGTTTCACGCCCGTGTCTATGTGAAGCCGAAGCTGACAGAATCGTCGCAGGTGGGACAAGCAGAACAAGTCGTAAACCAGTTTGCGTCGTGATGTACATATATAATAGGAGCTTGACAGTCTAGATTAGACTTTGGTCGTCTTGAAGTACCGACGCTATGGACTATAGACATACCTGCGTCGATTTACGCCTAAGCCCAGAAGGGATAGTCTCGCAGTCCAGTCGCGTGCGAACGCAACCCCAACGGCATCATCGCATTGCCGGCTTACCTCCAGCCTCCACATTCCCTCACGCGTAACTACTTCTACGGCACATAACGGCACTCTCTCATCCGCTCGTGCACCATAGATTCCGAGTCCATTCTCAAGAACAATGGAGAGCAGTAGTCCTCCGCCCACCATTCATGTCATAGACTATACACCGAACACTGGTCTACCTAATGCAATTCGACTCGATGCAGACCTCGGGGTTTGGTTTCTCCATGCCTAGACATATATGAGACGCCAAGCTCTGGACGATCTTGTAACTCACGAGTGCCTGAATATTCGAGGACGATCTGCGACCCTGCAACCGCGAGCTGCAATCCGATGCACTCAACGATGTGCAGCAGGCCTGGGACGATCCTCACCGCGCAGACTCGCCAGCGCCAAGGGAGGCATATGTCGCGAGCACAGTCCATATCAGCATGCCGTTTGCACGGGGTAAAACCTAGAGGCGCAGCTCGGGCGCGCCAAGGCGGCCGTCCGCGAGCTGACATGCGCGTCGCGCAACTGGCCACGATGGTGGGCTCGCGTACAGACTTGGCCACACTGGATTCATCGTGTACTGCTATGAAAGTACACTATGATCCTCGATACACCGCGAGCGTCTGTGCCTTGAGGATCTTGCCTCTTTGGATGAACGCGCTCGAGCTGGTTGTGGGTCCGGAGTACGTGGGAGCCTCGGGATCATCGACGACAGCCAGCACACTCCGCCGCCCGCCGACGCAGTCGGTCAAGTCAATCATAACATGAAGACAGGTCGATCAAATTCTTTTCGTGCAGGGTCATGTTGATACCTATTTTTGACCCTGCAGCGAAGCCTTCGGGCTGACGCTGCAGATACCGCTTTGCTTGTGGCGACTCTTCCGGCGGCAGTTGTCGAGTACGAAACTTCGGAATATAAGAGGGCCCACCCGCCTGCTCCTCCTCCCCATCTCATTTCCTCTTCTCTTTCTCCTCCTTTTCTTTCTTCTTCTCTTCTTCTTCTTTTACTTATTTTTTTCTTACGACTTTCGTTCACGACGACTATGTTCACCTTCGCCACCTCCGCTAGCCTCTTGGCTCTCGCCGGCTCCGCTTTCGCCGCAGGTCTCAACGCATCCACTGTAGCTGAGATCGTCCAGGAGCTCCGTCTTGCTCCCACCAAGGTCGACCAGTCCAAGATCACCACCGACGAGCTTTCCGTCTTCGACTTCAATGCGGCGCAGAAGGGTGACATCGGTGTCACCACTGGTACCGCTGGCCACACCGTCGCCGCTGACTCGGCCAACTTCCCTGCCGTTGTCGGTAACGGTGTATCCATGAGTACGTTCCCTCACTCTTCACCTCTCGGCAAGATCCTGACATCCATCCCAGCCATCGGTTACCTTGGCCCCTGCGGCATGAACAGCCCCCACACCCACCCTCGCGCCACGGAGATCAACTTCTCGCTGAACACCACTCTCCGCGGCGGTGTCTTAATCGAGAACGGTGCCCGCTTTGCCGAGATCGACATCCGCCCCGGTACCGCGACCATCTTCCCGCAGGGCGCTATCCACTTCGAGATGAACCCCTCCTGCGAGGAGGCGATGTTCGTTGCCGGCTTCAACGGCGAGAACCCGGGTGTGCAGCAGGTCGCCCAGCGCTTCTTCGGTCTCCCCCCGGACATCGTCGGCGCTGCCCTCGGTGGCCTCGGTGTCCAGGAGGTCCTCGACCTCGAGGCGTTCATCCCCGACAACGTCATCCTCGGTGTCGACGAGTGCCTCCAGCGCTGCGGCATTGAGCGCACCGCCCAGCCCAACGCACAGCGCCAGCCCCGCGTCTCCGCGAACGCTTACCCGCCCACGATCTCCGCGGTGAACGTCAACGAGCTTCCGGGCACTGACAGCCCTGCTGCTACCCAGCTTTACGCTGCTAAGGGCGCTGCACCCACCGGCTTCGCAGATGACTTCGTCCCCCTCTGCGACTCTCCCTACGACTGCGATGCCGCTGCCTCATCCGTCCTCGCCACGGCCGCACCCCTGCCCACCGCCGCTGCCGCACCAGCTGGCCGCCGCGCTGTTGTCGAGGAGCGCTCGCCATTCCCGGAGGTCACCCAGATCGCGCTCCGCCGCTAAACATTCCCTCATGATATCTAAAAATGAGCAGGCCCGCGCTGCGATCTTGTATCCTCTGTTGTAATGTGTACGGTTTCCTGAGCGTCTTTCTCTTTTGTACTTCGGTGTATCTGGCGTCGTGTTCTAAATGTCAACTATTGCTTTTCCTCTTCGCTTCCGTGCGCGTTCAAGCTCGACAGTCAGGCCCGAGGGCAATTGAAAAGTACATTGTCCGACTATTAGATACAAGCATTCCTCTTAGATTGACATCTTCCTTAACAGTATGTCCAGATATTGCGCGCAGAGACGTCTAGTGGCAGCCGCATGCGTCGCCATTGGGATTCGCGACACCGTTCTCAAATGCGGGTACACTGTGCGAGTCCACGGCGGCCGGCACATCCATGCCTGGGTTGGCGGTGAAGAAGGAATTGGGCTTGAAGGCGACGCGCAGATGGTCGACCGGCATACTGCGTAGTGAGCATGAGCATCAAGCCAATACCGATAAGACTAGTGAAAAAACGTACACAGGCCAGTCCTCCGGGCGAGGGATATGTGTCGTCCCGACGGTGACATATACGAGCACGTCCTCGCCTTCGATCTTAGTCTCGGCCTTCGCATCTTCGCGCACCCACGCAAGAAGCGAGTCCTTCGGCTCCTCACGCGCCTGCGGCACGTACTTGCCCGCAGGCCACATGCGTCCTCCACCATACTCTTCCTCCTTGTCCTTGACGACCCAAAGCGTATGCGCGGCGAAGTTGGCGCGACGGCCGACCCAGCTGTCCGGGCGGGGGAGGAAGCGCGTCGCACCGCCTTTCGCGTTGATGCTATAGCCGACGGGAAGACCGCTCGCGGGGTGCTTCCGCGCGGGATTGATGATGCGCCAGCGGCGGTCTTTGTCTTGATCCCAGTCGCGTACTCCGTCCTTAGCGGAGGCCAGCGTGGTGTGCGCGACGTCGAAGCCGTTACCGGCAAAGTTCTCTGCCGAGCCTGTCGGCTGGGGCAGCGGGTTCACATCCGTCTCGACGACCGAGTTTGCGAGGCCGTCAAGCATGGGGTCGACGCGAAGACTGAACATGTGTTGGTGGTAGTGGGCATTGATGCCCGGTGCGACAACGGTGCCATGCGGAGAGTCCTCGCCTTGCGCGAGTGTGTAGACCTGCAAGATACCCGTGAGACGGATCTCGAGCTCGATCGTGCCGTCCTGGTAGAAGAGGTAGTTCCAGATGTACTCTGCACAGACTATCAGCAACTATCGATATGCCATGAGGAGAGCGTGCGCACCGTAGTTGGCGAGCGTGCAGATCATGCTGACGACAAGCCTGCGCGAGCGAACCGCGTGAGAACGACCACCGACACGGTAGTCACTATGCTTCCACAGAAGGCCAGCGTCCTCCTCATGAATGCAGATGACGTTCCTATATAGTCGTTAGTACAAGAGTGACGCTTAAACTAATATTGTCTTACTTGATGACAACCGCAGAACCGTCATGTGCCGTGTATGCTCCAGGCATGTAGTGGATCTGTCCCAAGCAGTCGCATCCAAGAGCGAGCTCGTTCGCCATGGTGCCCATACCGTACTCGCCGGTATCGAAGGCGAACTTGCGAGGGTGCGGGTGCTCCGGCGCGCCGTACGGAACAACCATCTCTGCGACCGAGAGGCGATAGAAGATCGGGCGAACTTCACCATCGTCGTTGTAGGTTATAGTGCTGAGCGCGATACCTTCGCGATGACTGAACGCTACGATAGTGGGTCAGCATACGCCACTAGCCAGGAGTAAACGTACTCACCGATGTGCATCTTCCACTTTTGCCACTCCAGGACATGCCCGTCGATCTTGAACGAAACACCCTCCGGTTGTACAACGTGCAACGGTTTAGGCGCCTCACGCGCCTTCCACTCCTTTCCTTCCTTCTTCGCGTCTTCCTCCATCAGATCAGGCAAAAAGTTTTGCCCAGCCTTGGGAGGCGGGACGCGCTCGCGCTTGGCGGCAGCGAACGAGTCCTCGTCGAGCGCTGGTGGCTTCGTTGAGGCTACACCGAGAGACTTCTTCCCAGTATACGTCCCAGGGAAGTCGATATGCACGACCTTCGTGGCGAGAATGTCAACGACGGGGATGAAGTCCAGCGGGTGCGCGTAGAGGTTATCGTGCTCCGAGTAGCGCGCGAAGAGAAGCGCTTGCTGCAGACGCGTCTTCTCGGGGAAGCGGTCGTCGTAGCCGATAGACCAGCCATCCGCGTAGATCTGGTGGGGTTCGACGCCAACCTCCTTCGCGAGCTTCTGCACCGTCGGATCCTGGCGTACGATCTCCTCACAAGCGAGTAATTCTCCAGGTGAGATCTGCGGCTGCTGGCCAACAGGCAGTTTTGTGATCGCCTCAACGGCCCATTTGCCCGTTTTCGCATCAAGCGCAACAATGCAGTTGTACGCGTCTCCAGCCACGACATCCAGGAAGTCGACCTCCGAGCGGCGCACGATTGGGACCTTGTCCGACTCCTCCACTTTACCGCCAGGCGTGAGTGGAATACCGAGATGCGCGAGGACGGCACGTTTAGGAGGCGGCAAGAGCCAGTTCGTGATGAACCTCACAGCATGGATCTGCTTCTCCTTCACGACATATTCTCTTACGGCGAGCGAGACGGCAAGGATCTGTATCTTGTGAGCTACCGAAAGAACCGCAAGAAGTGTGTACGGACCTCGTCTGGCGTAAGAGGGTCGAGTGGATGCGTAGGGGCTTTGAATCCCGAAAGCTTGTGTGCGTGCTGCTGCACGCCGGTCGCGGTACTTGGAGCAAGATCACCGTTCTCAACAGCTGCCATCTAGTATACATTTGAATGAGTAGTTGCAAAAGCTTTAAATCGTATGGATCGGCGTACATCGTAGTCTGTGTGCTCGGGCAGATGGAGCGTAGAAGACAGGGTCAAGGTGGTCGCAGTCGTATGGAGTTGCTATCTGGGCGGAAGGCTATATAGCAGTACGGCGCAGCGCCTGTCGAGGTAACGTAACTCGGCGCAGACCTTTCCGATGGAGGTGGCGGCGGATGGCAGCTCGAAGTCGGGAACTCGATAAAGACTAGATAGTAGCTTTGGATCCGGTCACGCTGGAAGGAGAAGGCGCTCCGATAGGAACCCCTATCCCACAGCCGTAGCACTGTAGGCGTGCTGGCTGCACTTGACATGTTACACGTCTCCGGGTGTGTCTCAGGGATATAAGTCTTAAGGATGATGGAAAGAGCTCGATCCCCCCAAGAGAAGATGAGGGGTATAAGAGAGCAGGATGCGAGGCACTTTCGCCATCAGGATTGCCACGCGATCGATTCGGCGCGTTGATTCTCACACAAATGCGGGTACAGCGATAACAGTTCGGGATTATGTAGGTGTCGCGTATTTGGTCAGATAAGATAGTGTACATCGAGAGCAAAGCTATGCGGATCCAGGGTATCTCTTCAAACTCTAGAGAAACGTGCTACGAGGTCGAGGATGTGACCTCATGGGAACGCCGCGTCTAGTATCTCGTCGCTCCGTAACCACCCGTCGTTCCTACGCCTCGCCTCCTTGTTGAGCGATGACGGCGTCCGCTTCCGGCGAAGCACTCGCAGCAGATGATACAGAGGAAGAAGTCCCAGATCGCGACGAGGACCTGTGCAGTTTATTAGTTGGATGCTCAATGATACAAGTACAAGAGAGCCGTACCATCACGATGCCGGACACGATGGCTTCAATAACGCCAGCAATGGCAGAGATGACGGCCATGATGGCACCGCCGATAGCAGAGATGATAGAACCCTACGAAGCATATGAGCATCGGACGGCTGAACAGGCGCAACGATGTGCACGTACCATGATTAGTGGTCGTAAAAGGTCGTGCAGTAAAAGTGGGTAGAGAAGAGAGTATTGGTTGAGTGGATGGGTAGTTGGTAGGGATGAAGAAACGCGGGTAGCGCTACTTATACCGCGCGTGAACTGTGTGGAGCCCGCATACGCGCACCCAGGACATGATGACACTCTTCTCGTCAAGGTCCAGGCACGGTGATGCTAGAGCGCGGGCGAGGTTAGGGCAGCGGGCAAGAATGTACAGGAACGTGCAGGAACGTACACGGTCATTGTGGTTTGTGGAGACCGCGGGCGAGGTTGACTGAGCAGCGCCGCGCCATGATGGCTACGTCATAATCCACACGCTCATCTTATCTTATCAGAGTTCGCAAGAAATTAAATGCACTTGAGCGTCGGGAGGGTTTGGATGACCGCATATCGCACAGTACAGTACCAGGACTTCACCGGTCCCACATAATGGTCCTCCACCAGGAGCCAGTTAGCAGCAGGAAGCTGGAGTGCGGGGAGACCACGGTACACCACATTGATCCGTGATCCGAGACGGTTTCCGACCCCGCGCCGACACATAGACTCGACGTTCACGCTACACAGCGCAGACAGGACGCTCTTCATCATTCACGTCGTAGCAGTATGATAAACATGAGTAGACGGGAAGCCGACTTCGAAGCTGCCTGTGAGTTAACTTGGTCTATCGGATGACGTGAGTGTGATTCGCTCACGTCCTGCTACGATCCTAAATCGAGAGAGCCGGATGTTGCGTGTCTGAGCTCGGGCTGACGTTCAGCGCGTCCGGCTCGTATGGGGTAAAGTTGAACTTCGTTGGGCCATGAAGCGTACACTCTGCCGTGTAATATGCCGTTGGTAAACATCCTGGAGAAGAGTAAGTGCGATGTTGAACTTGAGGCAAACAATCTCAAGAGCCGTACTCGGACTCCTCACTCTGACCTCCCACTCTCGTATTCAATGAGCGGAACATGCGTGTCGCGCATATCGCTCTATAATATGTCATGAGCGCCCTAGCGCGAACCGGTTCGACTTAGGACTCACAAGATCACAGCTGCGAATGATGCAGTGGCGAGTGAGCACAGCCCTTGGCCGTAAGGGGAGGACCATTCCACGCACCTTCTGGTGCCACAAGCATCTAGTGTTGGATGTGACAATGAGTTACTTGGCACTAGCGACCACGAAAGATGAAGATGCCATACCGCGTCCAGTAGAGCTTGTCATTGGTGAGCAAGATGTCAGAATCTCAGGGGTGACGCCGGCTTACGATTGATATTCGACGCTAGTAAAGCCTGAAAGGCGTCGTCAGCAACTTGCACGGATTGATACCCTTGTCAGAACTAAACGTACCACGAACGGTATCTCGAACAGAGCGGCGACCAGTAAGTAGATCAGTCCCTATCAGTAATGCATTTCAGCATGAGGTTGAAGCAGAAGAACGGACGAGTAGCATGCCTGTGACCAGAGCACTTGCCACAACTTGAACTGGCGAGCCTCGCTCCACTTCGCACGAAGCCCAATGAGAAGAAGTGCAAGTATGATACAGTCTCCAGCGAGTACGGCTACAGAAGGTGCTAAAGCGTCGTCTATACTGCCGTTCAAAGCACAAGATTGTATCACTGGATCGAATGATGCGTCAATCTGTACCATCGAGTCAGCATCTGACAGTAAATTGGGTGCCGAATAGAGTGCAGCGCGCCTTCACCATGACTATCGCGATTCTGATGAGCAAGAGAAGTCGGAGAGCGCTGTATGGTACACGACACTCACGATACATCGAGGTCGCCAACGTGACCAGGGTGACCGTGATCAGCAGGGTAACGACCCTCCTGTCCCAAGACCACACTGCTGCCCTGATTGGCGTTCATTGAAAGGTTCTCATAGAGCATTGGACGTGTCGCACTCACACTCGTAAGGATAACAGGGTTGACGCGCAGATGACAGCAAAGAATCCTGACGCCTGACAGCGTCAGCTCCTCGATATTCAGCATCTTTCCACAGTATAGGCTCACCGTGAGCACTTTGATCAGCACCTGCAGCAGTAGTCAGCCTGCGTGACCAACGACTGAGGTGAACTGCGATGGCCGTACGTGACAATCCGACACTCCAGGGAAGGAGATGATGGCGACGCAAACACATTGGATAAGGCAGAGAATACGACACCCCAGGTAAGCCTTGATGATGTGAGTGCATTAGGTAGCCGCAGACCAGCATGCATACGCACCCATAAGGCAACACGCGCCTTGAGTGGGCGTGGCCCCTTCGTCTGGCGGGTTAGGAGCCCCCAATCATAGCGTAGATGCGTGATAAACTCTTGGCTGTAATCTAGTAAGACTCGACCGCGGTGAACAAGGATCGACGAGGCTCACAACCAAAGACCGGCGCAGATCAGCGATGTGTTCTGCAGAGTAGCTAGCCGGAATTTAAGCCTAAGCGCCCGTATGATGTCGTACTCAGACGCACCGAGCTGGCTCGACAAGGCAATCCATGTCATGGTGAACCAGGGCGGAATGAAGGTCACAGAAGCAAAGTCCTCTCCGCCCAGGCTATAACGGTTGGGCCGTGTGAGCGTATGTTCCGCAGTGCTTCCCTCCGGAGGACGAGGGACATGACATGGCAGGTCCATTGCTATCAATGGTCATCGTGTGAGCTATACCATGGAGTGCCGCGGGAAGTCCCACAAACGCAGGAGAGGACTGATGCAGATCGAAGGAGCGAAGATCAGTACCAACGGAGAGACTCGCTTCGGCGACGAACGCTTACCAGCGGCAGCCTAGCTAGTTGAGGTCCCAGCAGACTCTCCTCCGTCCAAGCTTGACGTATCCCTGTGAAGGGTTGCAGCAGCATCTACGAACGTCATAGCGCGTCGTTTGTCAGCAGGGAGTATGGGCATCATAGCGAGCGCGACAATGGCAGACGGGTCAAAGTCCGGCGAGTTCGGCTTCAACAGCGGAACACGCGGCCGGTGCGGAACGGCCGACAGGTATGTTGTATGGCGTGATCAAGCAAGGATATCCAGTGACAAATGAGTCAAACTGCGAAAAGGGTAATGGAATCAGTCCATGGGTCTGCTGTCATAGACTCGATGACACGTACCATGCGAGAAACTCGACTCCCGGCACACGACTGGCCGGTCTAGGGATCCGTGATGACCGGACGCTGAGAGACGAGTATGTGTACCAGCTCTCAGAGTGTGGTCCATGGTCTTATATCGGTGGCTTCAGAATGTGCTCGGGCTGTCGGCGGCGACCTCCGACCTGTTTTAACTCTGCTTCGGCGCCGCCCCGCCGATAACAGGTTGATCCAACCCTCGAGGTCTGCGTACCACTACGAGATGTCAACGTGTAGACCGCCAAAATCTAGCTTAACACATAGAGCATCTCGGAAAACCAATCGGTTTCGACGCAGTCCTGGTCGCGATGGTGGGGGCAAGAAGTTAGAACCAGGAAAGCGCAGCAGTGCGATGCGCGTTCGGCAATCAGAGCAAACGCGTGACGTCACGCGACGGTAACGCTCAAGAATACAGACGCGTTATTCAGGTAGAAACACTGAAGAAATTCCCTTATCCGTATTGAAATCGTTACTATACACGAGATAACAACGCGTACAAGTACAGAGGTGACTTTTGTCAATTCCTACAGGTAAAACATACTGTCCTTGAGCCTCTGATGCAGCCCACTTCCCCACATCTTCACCGCCGCATCATACACATTCTTCTCCGCGTCCTCCCGTTTACGCCTCATCCGATCCGACTGCGTACCGCCCGCAACAGACGCGGTATCACCCGCAGAAGACCCTTCATGCGCCTGGTTGAGGAATCCATGGATCCAGTACCTCGCCTGCTCGCACACCACGTCCGCGTAGTACGCCGCAGGGCATAAGCTGACGGCCTTTGTCGCGCGCGCATACATGTAGCTCGACACGTGCACGCCCTGCTGTATAGTATTGGGATCCAGCCCATTCTCGTCGTAGATGACGATGTAGTGCGTAGGGCGGACGGTGCCTTGCAGGCCCATATGCGCTTGGAGGTAGAAGTCGTAGTCGAGCACGGACGTAACGCCCTTATCGACGACGGTCCCGGGCTTCGTGTTTCCGTTCTTATTGTCGGCGTTCGCCTCGCTCGTAGGGTAGAAACGGGCGTGGTGGCGTTTGCCGCAGATGACAATGCTGAGCTTGGGGCGGTAGCGCGGGTTCTTGGCGTCGATGCGCTTGAATGCCTCGATTACTTGCGGAAGCTCTTCCTTGAGTACTTTGTCATATTGCCCCTGTAGTGATGTTCTCAATAGGATGCACACGAATGATTAAGTAGGCGCCGCACCTCGGAGACACCATCGCGGAAGATGAAGACGCGGTCGGGAAGAGCCTTGCTTCGCGCGCGAAAAGCCTGCAAGCGCTCGATCATCATGTCCGCCAGCTCTGCTATGCCCTGAAGAGAGAGGAAGGTCAGAAGAAGTTCGCAAGCATACCACAAGACCTGACACGCACCTCCTGCTTGGACTTCTGCAACCTCAAGCTAACCGGGAACTGTGCAAAGTACTGGTCGATGCTCGCAACGACACCAGCGATAGAGGGCGTTCCTTTGACGCTGCTCGGGCCCGGATGCGTCACGTCGATCCCAACCATCATCGTCTTCGTCTGCTGCAACCACCGCATATCGTTCGCGTCCAACCTATGATTCTCTCCTCCAAGCTTCATATTGACCTTCAGCGCGACGTTAGAGAAGTACTGGTCCTGGCCCTTCTCTTTGAAGGCCTTCTCCGTCAAGAGGCATTGGCTGTGCAAGCCTAGCGTGACTGCGCAGATGCGTTTGACGGCGGGATAGATGTAATCGTCTCGGCGTTGCAGTAAGACGAGCACGATATCAATTTCGCCGAAAGTCCTGAGCTGGTTCTCGAGTGCGCGCGTCGCTTGAGATCGACCTGGATCGCTCGATGGAGGCGGGAGCTGCACGGCTTTTACAATCGGTGGTCCCGCGATGTGCATGCCGCTCTTCGTACACTTGTTGGCGAAGCCCTTGATCCAGTCTCTGAGACGTGGGTCGCCGGGACCTTGGAACTCGGGTGGTCCATCGATGACCACTAGTACGCCCCACTTGTTGATTCTCGCTCCGTGGTGAAACTTAACGTCGAGGATGTTCCAAGAACCTTAGAGGAAGAGAGCTGTCAGATACGCCGAAACTTAGGATCTCATGCACGGAGGCTTACCGTTCGCGACTCTGGCACTGCCCTGCCCGTACGTCACTCGAGGTGGCATAAGCTCGCGCGCCGGAATGACCGTCATATTGGGGCTGATGGTCACGCCGAAGGCAGTCAGAGTAGGGTTCTCGGTGAACCCGAGCTTCGGTATACCCTGCTTCGTGATATGTTCCGCGTTCACTCCAGGGCGCCGATTAGCGAGGGAAAGCATCTCCTGCGTTTCCTTGGGCGAGAGCTTGCCGAAGTGCGGTTCGCCGGGTTCGATCGTGCAGAGTTCAGCGGGGAAGTACGTCGACTTGCCGGGGCCGCCGACGTCGACGAGGGGAGAGCTCGGGGTTAAGTTAATCCTGTACTCTGTGCGATGGTCAGCGTGAGAACTCGTCACTCGAAGATCAAGGGAAAGGCCACTCACTCCGTTTGAAGTAGTCCTGAACGGTTATGTTCTCGTTGTTGTACTCGCTGCACTTGAATCGCTGCGTGCCAGCCGTATTGGCCAATACTCGAAAGATCTTCTTCACGCGTTTGTATCCAAGATGACTGGTCGAGACCTGAAGACACACTCGTTAGCTCCGTCTCGCGGTTGTGCGCTGATACGACAGGTCTCACCTTGACATCCCGCATGAACTCAGCGCTGTTCCCACCAAAGGATCCCCGGTCAAAGCTATTGATCGCATCCAGAAGGTTCCCGGGCTGATAGAATGCCGTCATACAGACGTTGAGGTTGACCATGAGCTGCTTGTGCACCGGCCGCACGGACGAGTAGAAGCCCATCAGTGCCCAGAGACGGCTGCCAGGTCCGAGCTGGCCCTTCTCGTTATCGTCGAAGAAGAACCGGTTGCGGCCGTGGCGATAGCTAGCTTCGGAAGCTTGACGCTGAAGAACGAGGTTGAGCGCCGAAATCACAGGGTCGACCTGTTCATCTGCGTCGGCGCGGGTTACATCGCCTTCAAGATAACTGAACGGGTATGCATATCAGTGTTAATGCGGACTATGACTGGAGTGAATGGCATACCCCTTTAGAGGAGCGGTCGGCAGCTCCTTCGTGAAGGTGACAGTGACTTCGTAAGTATCGGCGTCCTTGTGAGGCCCATTGTCTCCCTTCTCAAAGTATTTCACGGTCCCCGTCAGAGGTTGAGGGAGTGGCTTTGCGGCTATCAGACGCTGGGAGCCATCGTGTACAAGGTGGTTGCGGTATGGTGCGCCCACCGGGCTCGCCTCGAACAGTTCTAAGATGCGCCGCTTGACCCGTGGTTTCTGCGATCTGGGTTCGGGCGTTATCTCGACGGAGTACTCGTAGAACTTGTCCTTCTCGACATCGATTGCAAAGAAGTTCGCGCGTACGACTATAGCTTTCCCGAGCTACCGATGATGCACCGTTGTCAGGACAATAAGAGTGATAACTGGAAGAAGTACTCACCGTTCCATATCCTGGCCTTACGGGGCGCTCCGGTCTCTTGCTACCTTTCGTCTTGTTGAGATGTTGAATGAGCTGATCAGCCTGCGCTGTGCGAGCGTCCAGCGTAGTCGGAGTGTTCGGCGTAGGGTTGAATATCAAGGGGGCATTCGCGAAACTCGAGCCTCCTCGAGTAAAACCGCGCCCGCCACCCCGTCCGCCACCTCCGCCGAATCCTCGTCCATCACCGCGGCCACGGAAGTCGCCGCCACCGCCACCACCACGTCCTCGGAACCCTCCGCCACGATCACCGCCACCGGGAGGGCCACCACGAGGCGGGCCACCACGAGGTGGCCCGCCATCTCCACGTCCGCGTCCTCGTCCGCGATCACCACCGCCTCGTCCTCGGTTTCCGCTCATAGTTTGTTCGATGAGAGTTCAAGCCGATGCCTACTAGATGATGAAACCAAGAGACAAGTTGGAGTCGGGGCCTCGAGCGCTTTCGCCGCAACTTAGGCCGTAGATGTAGGGGCGCTTCTGGCACGTGCTGTAGGGAATCTGGGCTGCGCCCCACACGCGAGTCATGCTGCAAAGTGGGCGTAGCGTCTTGGGATGATATGGCTTAGGAATTCATAGTACTCTTCGACTGTCTACCCTCAACAAGCAGCCGCCAAGGCTGCTTGGTGAGGGCAGACAGTTATTCAAAGAAAATACCGTATTTTTTCTGCGGCATCGATGGTATTCACTCGGCAGAAGGATTGGGTACACTGCATGTCATTGACCGAAACGAAGCGTTCCCAGCCGGATCCGAACTTCATCTCCAAGTCGATCTTGGGAACGAGCGGGTAGAGGAAGCACCATGGACATGATGGTGAGGAAGAAAAGAGTGGTCCAGAGCTGCGCGCCCAGACGAGAGTCCGTTCGGCAAACGCCGTGCACGCGTCGCATGCAGCTCGAGCATCAGTCGCGTCTTGATCAAGACGTGCTTCCACCTCACCGCTACGCCGGCTTCGGGCTTTATTGCCGCACCGCTTGCGCACTGGAACGCATAGAGGGCTACTGTGCTCTTGTTTCAATGCTCTAGCTCCACACTATCTGTCTGCAATTTTCTTGGGCTTTCACCTTCAGCGTGACCTGACACAGTTCATGTCTTAGACGTCCTTCCATCCCTACCGACCACTTACTGCCCGTCATGCCGACTGACGCCGTCGAGATCTGGCAACGCTGGAAGGAGGTCACCGACTTTACCGCGCCCGACAAATACGGGCGTCTTTTCCGCTCGTCCGCGCCTTACTACGAGGGCAAAGATATGGACCAAACACTTGATCGCGGCTTTGAAAGTCCTTGTCGACCATGACATCAAGCGTATCGTCAGCTTCAACAGCATCTCGTACTCGGAACATACGAAGGCACTCTTGAGGGACGCCGGCATCGCTTACTTCCATATTCCCGTGAAAGACTTCCACGCGCCGACCCTGAACCAGCTTAAGTCGTTGATCACGTTCCGGACGGGGTTGCCAGCTCGCAATACGTTGATCCACTGCGGCTATGGTCAAGGACGTACGGGAACAGGCGTCACGGCTGTACAGCTGCATGTGATGAAAGGGGCGAATCCGCCGGAGCGCGACTGGAGCGTTGTTAACGGGGTGGAAGAGAACTCCCAACTCACTATGTTGCGCCGGTTCAGAGACGACTGTAAGGGCGCTGCCTGATCCCGTGCACGGTATGCACCTCCCTCTATCCCGTGCGCTCGTTACTGATCATAATGAACCCTCAGTCAAAGACCGCGAGATTCGAGCGCGCTTCCACCGTGACCTGGTCACTTCACCGACTTCAGGTCTTATCACCACACTACCCGCGCACCGGAATGCTTACAATTAAGGCGCTGCATTGCCATCATGCCTCTCACGAGTCCGGCTTCCAGCATCACGCCGGAATGTCAAGTTCGACGAGTGGGATGATGCGTCGTTGCAGCCTCGAGAGTACAGCTCGCGCCCTTGGTTGTGTGTTGGGTGTACGAGCAGTACTAGAAGATGTTTATCTTGTATGGAGTCGTCGTGTATAACTCCATTACATGGAATTGTAACTACAAATGAATGAACAGCGCTGACGAAGGGCGTGAAACGTTTACAATATGTTGCCTATAGCCGAGACCCATGCGACTGGCTGTCGAAGGCCGGTCAGATGCGCCACAGGTAGTGCGAAAGGCCCGAGCGAAGCGAAGGTGACCGGCGTCTTTGCAGCAACGGATGGGCCAACGTGTTGAGAGCTGTTCCGCACAACGCCGATCAGAACACGCATTCAGCTTGCTCGCGACGTATACAGACTTTGATCTTACTCCAACGTAAACTCGGAGCGATAGCTTCACCGGTGCCATTCGAGGTATGACTGCCCCGCTCGAGTCCTGCAAGGACTCATCCCGTCTCTGGGGTACCTTGACAAGCGGCGTACTTGGAGTTTCTATGTCATGTCAGTGTCATATCGGAGATTACACGAGAACCGTGTCCTGGTAAGTATGAGTCTTTGCCAACTTTGCTGTTGTGAGTGTTCGGTACGGTGTCAAGTGGTTGTCTCGTGAAGGCGCACGAAGATCTACTTCGGAGAAGTTGACGGGGCTGCGCGCTTAGCTTACGAGAGTAGGAAACGAAAGACCGCCGTGGTGAAGGATAGAGAGAATGGAACTCGAAGCTTTCCATCTTCCTTACGCATAACGAGGGTCGTTGAAGCTGTCAAGCTCTGTCACTGGGCCGCCAGATGACCCCAAAGGGCGTCATTGCATACCCCTCCTTCACAAGCCTGGAATAGATGATGGGGCATCCGGTACTCGTGACAAGAAGGGCAGAGTGGTAAGGACATATATAAGAGCTATCGTGTCCTTACTTGAATACCCCAGCTCAGCAGCAACAGAAACAACATCCGTTAGTCATATCTTTGGACTTTCACCTCTAGCATGACCTGACATAGTTCATCCCGCAGACGTCCTTCCACCCTTACTAGCGAATATTCACTATGTCGACTGAGATTTGGCAACGTTGGAAGGAGGTCACCGTATACGTCGATTCAGCCAAATACGGGCGTCTTTTCCGCTCGTCCGCGCCTTACTACGTGAACAAAGATTCGGACCAGAAGGTTGACCAGGCGGCCGTGGACGTCCTCACCCAGCGCGGCATCAAGCGTATCATCAGCTACAACAGCATCTCGTACACGGACGCTGCAAAGGCACTCTTGACGAAGGCCGGTATCACTTACCTCCATCTTCCCGTCACGGACTTTCAGGCGCCCACGCTCGCCCAGCTCAAGTCGACGGTCACATTCAGGACGCAGTCACCTGCAAGCAGCACGCTCATTCACTGCGGGTATGGTCAAGGTCGCACAGGCACGGGCGTCACGGCTGTACAGCTGAATGTCACAAATGGAGCGAATCCCCCCGAGAGTGACTGGGAGGACGTTAACGGGGTTGAAGAACCGGCTCAAATGGCCGTTTTGCGCGAGTTCAAGAAGAACCCCACGGCCTGATAAATGATTGGACGCTCGGTGTGCACCGTCTACTCCTTGGTTGAGCGCTCGTCACTGATCATGGGAATTCCTAAGCAGAACCCGCGAGATTGAAACAGAGTACGACTCGTAAATCCCGTTTTGAATTGTAAGATACAAAGCACGGTGTTTCTCTTGTCCGAGAGTACCAATTTCACGTGTATATGCATTTGTCTTCAAACTTGTGCAATTGCACGATGCCAAAAGGAGGACGTTGAGTGACAAGCGGCCGAAGGGCACCCAGCGAAAGAATTTGAACTCGCCCGCGTCGTGCCTGGCTCTAGCTTGCCTGCCCGTCTGAGAGCGACGCAAGCGCGCAATGCCATAGCGGAGCTGAGCTTCAACCTAGTTTTGAGCGAATGACTGAGATGATAGTATTCTGAGTCCATGACAGACGGGAGAAGGAGAGTCGTGTGGTGAGCGCGGCCGAAAGTCGACGTCGGCAAATGCCGATTCCGTGACGCCCTCGCGCGGACGCGACCTGGAAGTTGCAGCGCGCCTCCATCTCGCCACTCCGACTCTATACCCGCTTTCATAGGCGAAATGGCCACCGCAAACGAACTTCCGCCTTTGGGTCCCCTCTTCAATGCCAACGCAAAGCGAACATATAGCGTATTTGCAGCTTATCCTGATTCGGGATATAAGGAGGATGAGAAGAGGTTCGTTTGCCATACGCGTGACCTCATACCTTTGACGGTGCTCATATCATGATATAGTGCAAGAGCACGGCTATCATCGAAGATTGAGTCAGAATATAAGCACTACAAGCAGTTACCGACCGCCCTGCTCGCGCAACAGGCTCCTGTTGGCCCGGCAAGACCGAAGGAGCAAAGGAAAGCTATCACAGCTGGTCGTGCGTATTATCTATATTTCATATCTTATCATCTGCTAATGTTATATCTCAGCATCAGCAGGACCGTCGACAGACACTTCGCGCATGATAGCCAAGATCGACAATACGCCTATTCAAACACAATCGACATTCACCAACTCCTCCAAACTCTCCCAGGCTTTGACACTACACAAGACTACCCGCACGCTGAAACCCGAGTTCCACCCACAATGGAAACTCACGCGCGTTATATCCGGCCATTTAGGCTGGGTACGAGCCGTGGCCGTCGAACCTGGCAACAAATGGTTCGCCACAGGCGCCGGCGACCGCGTCATCAAAATCTGGGACCTGGCCTCAGGCGAGCTCAAGCTCTCATTGACCGGCCACATCTCCACCGTACGCGGTCTGGCCGTTTCCCCGCGTCACCCCTACCTCTTCTCGTGCGGCGAGGACAAGATGGTGAAATGCTGGGATTTGGAGGCGAATAAAGTCATCAGGCATTACCACGGTCATTTGAGTGGTATCTATGCGTTGGCGTTGCACCCGACGCTGGATGTCCTTGTCACGGCAGGACGAGATGCGAGTACGAGGGTGTGGGATATGAGGACGAAGCAGATGGTCCATGCGTTGACGGGCCATACGGGGACGGTCGCGGCGGTTCAGTGTCAGGACTCGGACCCGCAGGTCATTACTGGGTCTATGGACAGCACCATCAGGTACACCTCTTCCCACCGACTTCAATGCCTGGACTCATGACGTCCACAGGTTATGGGACCTCGCGGCCGGCAAGACCATGACGACCCTAACGCACCACAAAAAGTCCGTCCGGGCGTTGACAGTCCACCCAACCGAGTTCTCCTTCGCCTCGGGCTCCGCCGGCGGGAACAACATCAAGAAGTGGAAATGCCCCGACGGCAACTTCGTCTTCAACTTCTCCGGCCACAATGCCATCATCAACACCATGTCCGTCAACAGCGAAGGCGTTCTGTTCAGCGGTGGCGATAACGGGACGCTGACATTGTGGGACTATGCGACGGGGACGCCGTTCCAGCATATGGAGGACATACCGCAGCCGGGAAGTTTGGAGGCTGAGGCGGGTGTGTTTTGTTCGACGTTTGATGTTACGGGGACGAGGTTGATTACGGGTGGGGCGGATAAGACTATCAAGGTGTGTATATTTTGCATTGCCCGCAGGGAAGTTGAAATGCTGACGGTTGTGCAGGTGTACTCGGAGCAAGCCCAATGAGAACTTCGCCGTGTATACTAGTGTGCTATTTAGACGCCGCTCGGGTTTCATCATCTCACATTCATCTTCAAGTGATTCATCATGATACCCACCCGACTGATGATCCCCTTGGCTCACCACATCAGGCCCTCTATGTAGGCCGCACTACGCCAGGCTTGGGAGGATCTCCCGCCGTCCACCTTTGCTGATCCTGCATGGTAATTGTCCTTCGTGATGAATGGCGAGTATCGAAGCGGTGAACCCGCTTGCGCCCATCAGTCATCTCCATGCTAAGTGACCGGACCCATGACTGGCTTCTTCCTGATTCCCGAGATGACAGGGGCTATGCTTGTACCGTGTAAGGCTTATCCTCTGCGTCTTGCGAACAATCTAGATGCACAGTACCACGGGCGGCGGTACTCGCATCCTCATTTGGACCGACAGTACTGCTATATAAGCCTCCCAAGAACTCATCGACACCTCCCTCATCATCCGGGATTCCTGAGCTATGTCGTCTTCAGAAAGTTTAAGTATTGGACTCATACACGAACTCTGTACGTCGTCATCGTTGTCGCAATGTCGAGTATGCCTCTGACAGATGGCGCTTTATGCTGTAGATGGTCTACAGAGCACTGCGCTTATTTGCTCTGGCCTCTGGTTGTGAGTGCGTTCCATCTTTAATTCTGCCGCTCACTCATCAACATACGCCAGCCACGAATTCGTTTTACATTTACCTTTCGATTGGTCTCTGTTCAAACGGTCCAGCATAGATCGCCCAATGATGGCGCGCCTTGGGAAATGGGTGAATACACGCGAATCGCTGCGTGGGATGATGGATCATTGATACAGCATCAGACGTATCTAACATGTCGGATTCTCATCGTCACGTACTGCGTTTGCATGGTGGTCATCACGTCCCCTCTGCAACTGGATTGCCAAGTCAGTTCTTCTATCCCGTGCATCATTGCTCGCGAAGGCTGACCAGGGTCACAGGTCCTACTCAAGTTGATCATGGTGTCACAAAAGTTCTCTATTGCCTCTTTCGTATCTTGTTGACGCGCTGTCTATATCAAATCAGGCTACGGGTGCGCTCGGAAACGGTTTCGCCCTAGTGTTGCAATACATGAGAGCGTAAGCACCGTTGGCCTTTGTCTACGCATCGCAACCTTACTGGTACCATCTCGCTCATCGTCAGGGCAGCCATATGGGGTTGGGATAAACGCGTTACTAGTCTACTCGGAGCAAGCATCCTTGCCGTCGTGGTCGGCGAAATATATTGTGAGCGCGGGTACTACGCTCTCAGGATGGTTCGTGTACTAAACTCAGAGATCGCAGTCTTAACTCAGGCACGTGTCCCGCACTCCTTCGTGAAGTCCAACACCAACCACCGAATGCTTGTCCACCCACCAGATTAACTCCCCATAGCAGCCGGCGATACACGCTTGTTCCGTTGGCAGCTATCAGTTCGGGGTGGCAATGTCAGTGTCTCTACTCGCGAGCGACTGCTTGGCTATGATTCTTCTCCTCGTGGGTCTTCGGGTACACTGGCGCGAAGCTCGCGAACATCGATTGTGGAACGACCTCTGGAATCAAGTGAGTGTCCTCGCAAACGGCAAAGCGGCCCCTCACAACATAATATGACCAGGGTCTGCTATATCTTCTTGCTGCTGCACTGATTGACATACCGGTGGTCGTAAGTTGGCAGCCATTTATACTCCGCTTTGCCATCTGACGGCCCTTGAAGGTACTGGTTATACTTGACGTCGATCGTGAGTGGCCACTACACGGCTCCGATATTGTGCATTCGTCTGATTATGGACCGAAAGCGATCGCCACTGCGGTAAGCCTGCTCGCACATCTCCATACTACATCTATCACTCACATTCTGTCGCTCCAGTTATCCCTCCAGTTATTGAGTTCGTAGTGTTCGAGCCAATCCTTGATTGTAAGCCCACTGACTGAAATTGTTTGTCAACGCTAGTCATCATAATGTGAGTCGCTATCTTGATGAACGCGACATGATGGTAGCTCAAACTACTCAGGCCGGTGTGCACAACACGCATGTTCCGTTTCCTGAACAAGGCTGTGCGAGGGGAGAACGAAGAAACTGAGTACTTGCTTTTCACGTTTGGTGCCGTCGTCAGAGACTCACATGTTCATTCATCAGCAGGTTTACCGGTAAACCTTTGCCAAACCGAAGTCAGGACCCGGGAGCCGGCCGCGCAATGGAGCTGGCGCCGATGTGAGATGGGCAGACCATAGCAAGGAGATAGTTAGGATGACGGTCGAGCACAATGACTGCCGTGGATAGTCGATTCAGTCGCATTAGTGATAGGGGGAGGTGACCTGGCCCCCAGGCTGTTCTTGTGTTTCGGAGCTGTGTAGTCTGTGTATCACAGCGCCCTGCGCGTTATTCCGTAGGCAACTAAATACCACGTTACGTCGGTGTACAGTGAATATCCAAATTGACCAGTAAATCCCCTTGTGCTCGTACCGCGTGCCGAGCGCCCGAGGTGTTCTCAGCGCAGTTGCCAACGCTGCGTGCGCGGAGACGCGATATACGCTCGGCGGGGGGACCGAACAGGACCGAACTCGAACTCCCGGGGCCGGAATAGCATGGGCACGCGTCGCGTGCTGCCGCGATCTTGTAGTACCACCACCACCACCACCACTCCTAGTGACATCCTATTTCGCGCCGGTGACTGCATCCCTCAGAAATGATATGGATATAGCAGGACGGCCCTTCGAAAACGCGCGACCCTCATCGTCGGTCCTCTCACGAGTACCCGTATGCTTCGAGTTGCATTGGATAGGCCGACGAACTCCTTGACACTGGGATTCGGCGTCGTCGTCTGCCCGATTCTGGCTGCACTTGAGGATGCGCTGCTGAGTAGGAATGCTCCGACATCGTGGCGCTAGGAGATCTCACCTCTATCGACATAGGTTGAGACGATCACATCGTCGGAAATTTGGATGCCGGCGGAGAGTATCGGTCCGACCATAGATGTTGAGATGGCGATTGCGAGTATAGAGGAGGCAGATAGGACTGTTAAGGTGTGTATCTCTATGACTGTATATAAGCGCTATAGCCGGAGTTCTGACTAGTGCGCAGGTATACTCTGAGCCATCGTCACGAACAATTTGATACCATGTACACCATACCTTACACTCCCCCGTGCTTAATGGCCACCTCCACATTGCTTGACATGCCGCCGTCACCTGTTATCATCAACACTCTCATTGTCCAGAGGGATGAGGTTTTGCATGTATCCCAACAGCGTGTTTATCGAACGGTCTACACGTTGGACGGCGTTCAAATTCCAAAAGGCTAGGGCGCCACGTCCACCACGGAGGGACGCCTTCATACTATCAAGCGCTCTCTTCAGCCAGTCGTAGCCTCTTGTGCGTTCTGTTCTCCCCTCACGAGGACACCTTCGGCCCTTCTCCCGTGCTCATGGGACTGCGCTTGTCTTCGCGGGCTTCCAAAGTTCCAAGCCGCTACTGTCTTTGACCAACTCGAAACCTTGTATGCGACACTATACACCCAATCGTCGACATAGTATAAGGATGGAGGCGGAACGCCATCAGTTGATGACTGGCGGTCTCATATAAGTGTATACCATGGCTTTTCGTCGCTCATGCCCCAACCCTCTTTCCAATGGCGAACTCAAGTGCGGCACAAGCTCAAGCGCTCACTCTTCTGCATCAGCTCAGTACGTCGGCATTGAGATTCTCTTGTCGCTTGTCTGCGAAGATGACTTACGCTCTCCTGTAGATGCCCTGCATAGTACAACGCTCCTCTGCTCCGGCCTATATTTGTAAGCCTTGATTAGTCATCACGTCTTCCGCGTCCCCTTGACCAAACATCCCTTCAGTCGTGAGTTTCTAGGACATCTTCAATACGACTGGGCGTTACTTCAACGGCCTGGATCGGGTCGCCCTGTCATGGCACGCCTGGCCAAATGGGTATGTTCCTGCACACATTGATCAAGCATTCCTCGCCTCACCCATGTGAAAGGCGTATCTGTCCTGTCGAATCCTGTTACTGGTTTACAGCGTCTGCGTGTCAATCATCGCTTTTCCAGGGGAACCTGACTGTCATGTATGTAATACAGCTGAGCCGTGCGATCTACTACTGATCCAGCCGACAGGCCCTCATCAAGCTATTGACGGTACGAGATGTACATTCCCCGCTGGCGCTTTCCACTCATTCCTTGGATGTTTCACGCTGCGGCTTATATGCTTCGTAGACGACTGGGTTTCTGGGGGTCGTGTGCGCATCGATCCTGTTATCCATTCGAGTGTAAGCGCACGATTCATCTCCCATATGCGTCGCCACGAGCTGATGACACTGCAATCTTCCCTACATCTTCGAACCCTACCAGAGGCGCCGTTTGGGCATGGAGCAGACGCATCGTGGGTCTTTTGACCGTGATCACGGTGGTCATACTTGCCTTCGCCATATACTGTACGTCAGTGTATGTGTTCACTCTACTGAGTTGATACTCAACTAGATCATCACAGTCATGATAGAGGTCAGTGCTTACCAGGAGCTTCAGATTGCGTACCTCACTGATCGTTCTTGCTCATCCTCAGATCCACTCGACGTACGATCCGACGATACAAAACTGCGCCTTGAACGGCGTGTACAGCGATCTATATCCCGCGA